CACGCGTGAAAGGAGAGAGGTTGGGGAAACGAAGAGACGTGAAGTTGTTCAACGGACAAAAGAGTGGAGTCTGACTTGCGACAGGATTCGCCGAATTGTGAGGTGAGGGTATAATCGTCAACTGAAAATATTTAAAGGTTACAGAGGCAAAAGACCAATTATCGGCCAACTTAGGGGCAGCCATGCCAATTTCTCTTTTTTTTTACAGATTTTACATTCTCATTTCTGAAGAAGTAAATATTTATAAATACAAAATAATTTATTTGTTTCACTGAAAGAAATTCATTCTTATAAATAAAAAAATCATGTAGATAGTAATTGTGAAAGATAAATGTATTTAAATCTACAAAAAAAAAGAATTAACAAATGAAGTTTTAAATGATTTTGCCAAAACCAAAAATTATAAATAGAACAGACATTGTGTAGTGGACGGACTTTGGATGCTAACACGTTTCAGGTTCGATATTTCTGCTGCGTGAAACTAAATCACATTGTTATGTTCACTAAATGTGGATATAGATCTACGTTTTAAGAACTTTTAAAATACTCTAGAGAATGAGTTCATCTGCGGGTTTGCGACTTCCCTAACTTCAATCAGGTTAAAAAAAAAATTACAAGAAAAAAGAAAAATCATAAATAAATAATAATATTGCCATCTGTTTTTTTTTGTCAGCATCTTATATCACTAAATGCATTGAAATTGACTTTGATGATTCGACCTAAAATGAAAATGACATGGATAAACTCATCTCAGTGAGTCTGAGCCCAATAAAACTTGTAAATTTGCGAGAGATAGAGCCCAGATAAAAGCCCAACTCAAAACCGAAATTCAAAACCCAAAACCAAAACGTGGTTCACGAGTCACATAACCCAAACCGAATCTCACGGGAAGAAAGGTGGGGTGGGGACATATGTACATACATACATACATATATACACGGTAACGGTAGACTTGGCGCCTCCGTCAAATGACGTGTTATCCTCTTTGTCTTTTCCGTTAAGTAAAGACGACACATCGCCGTTTATCGCCGTGGGTCCGTGGAATTTCAACCAGAGGAAGAGAAGACCCTGAGAGACGCCTTCTACATCTCCTCTCTCTCTATCAAATCCACCTCGATCTGACGATCCCCATAAACCCTAGATTTTCCTCAGATTCTCGTGTTGGAGCTTACCTAATTTCGTAGCTTCTCGATCGCGTCTCCGATTGGATTTGATCGGAATTGCTCGATCGCGTCTCCGATTGGATTTGATCGGAATCTGGTGATAAGTAGGTAGTAGTTTGGTGGAGACGATGCAGAGACGGAGTCCTCCGAAACATAGGCATGACGGAACGTCGCCTCTTCCGTTGGGGATGGATTGGAGTCCTCCCCCTCGCAAATGGGTTAGTTCTTACATTCCCAAAAATTCAATCTTTACTATGTTTCTTGGGAACCGTTGAGAAAAATGTCGATACTTTAGGTATAGCTACTAGTCTAGTGGTAGAACTCACCACAAAAAAGGCTTTACTTAGGTCCCTTCTCCTTATTAATTGGAGATTCCTAACTATTAGCTCAAGCCACTTGTTGTAGTTAGGGTTGCTAAAGTCATTGTTTTATGCTCTTTGGGTAGCTGCTGACTGAGGAATATCGTTTTGTTCAATTTGAGTTCATATATGTATGGAGACTTGAAGGCGATAATATATTTTTATGTAACTTTGTGCAGAATGGTAGAGATACTGTTTGGCCTCATGACCCTCGAACTGGATGGAGTTATTGTGTTACTATACCCTCGTGGGTTGTCCTTCCTAAATCAAGAAATTCTGATCCTGTTGTGGTAATTTAAAATACTTTAATCTCCACTGTTTATCTCTTTCAAGGACATAATTTTGCAGTGTTCACTGGACTGGTTATGTCAACCATATCTTTAAAGTCTGTGGATGAATAAACTTTTAACATGAACAATGATATATTTGTTTCTTGTTCTTCATAAATTATTTACTGGCGTGTGCTTTATTACATGCAGCTGAAGAATTTTGTTGTTGTGCATGTCTTAAATTACTACAATATTTTGTTGAACTTTACTTACGTATGTTAACATTTTAGAGGAACAGTTTTACAGGGTTCAGATAAGTGTGCAATCCCCTGAAGGTGTGACTACAATGCGGGGAGTGTTGAGAAGATTTAATGATTTCCTAAAGCTATTGACGGATGTAAGAAATTCTTCTCTTTTATAATCTCCCTATCCAACTCTCTGTTTTTTTTCCACTTTTCACGATATTGAGTAATTGCAATGTTCTTGACGCCGTATGCACATTCATGTCTTCCTTTCAGCTTAAAAGAGAATTTCCCAGAAAGAGTTTTCCATCAGCTCCACCCAAAGGGCTGTTACGTTTGAAAAGTAGAGCACTGTTAGAAGAGGTATGTAGTATTCCTGTGGACTAACTGCATTAGGTCACTTATGTAACCGCTTTTACTCTCAATTTCCTCTGTTTTGTCCCTTTTTTCCTTTCTTTTGCAAATATATAAATATGAGGGAAGCCATGTACACAGCACAATATTCATGTAAATAATCCGTTTACAAGTGATAGCTGTCACCTTGTTGCAGAGAAGGTGCTCTCTTGAGGAGTGGATAACAAAGCTATTATCTGATATAGAATTCGCAAGAAGTGTCGTAGTTGCATCCTTTCTTGAACTGGAATCTGCTGCTAGGTCTGGTATGATCTAAAACAGTATGCTCTTAAGCCGTGCATTTGTAAATCCTGTTACATGTCACAAGAGTCTAACGTGATGTTTGCATTTCAGCATGCCAAGATGTCGATCAGAATGCTTCTGATGCCAGTAATGATAAAAATAGCACAAGTTCGTCACCAATGGTTCACCCAAGTTTGAGCTTGTTTCAGACTGGCGGCGGTTCTTCTCTCACATCTGACTATGGCAGTGATACTGCTTATGAAACGTCTGAGTTCGGATCTCCAAGTTTAGGACAGGATGATGTTTCTGAAATTGGTACCGAGGATCTAACTCTGGATGAAGAAGTAACAAATCCAATGGACAAGATCCTTAACTTAAGCATGTCCAACATTGACGAGGGACTTTCAATGAGCCAAACTATTCTAGATCAACTTGAAGACTTTCCCAAACATAAAGTCCGATCAAGATATGTCAATAATATCCCAGGGAAAGATGTGTATAATGGAAATACTGCTGAAGGTGTACTTCTTGCTAATAATGGCTCACGACTTCTCTCTGAACCAGAATCATTAGCTCAGTCAGTTCTGCATGATAGAAATCTTTCTTTTGGGAGTGCTGACGGGTTTTCTCTACACACCGGTGAGACATCAACATCTGGGCTCCTAAGTTCAAGCAGTGATAGCCACCTGGATCTGCACCGAGGTACTGGTGCATCGGTTGGAACTGGTCTTGTTTGTAACCCGGAAAGGCAGGGTAATGCACAGATAGTTCTTCCACTGGACCTGCGTAAGAAACTGAACAAGATTCTGTTAGCCACGAATGAAAGACTTGTCAATGCAAAAACAGATATGGAGGATCTTATAGCAAGACTAAATCAAGAGATAGCGGTCAAAGATTACCTGAACAAAAAGGTACATTAAGAAAAGTAACCATGAACTCTCAGTGTTTTATGTTTCTTCTCATTTTTAGCTATAAACATCCGTATCTTATCAGTTCAGAAAAACATCTGTATCTTATCTATTTTTCTTTGAAGCGAAATGTTGTTAGTGTTGTAATCTTATTTTACTGTTCAGGTTAATGATCTGGAAGGGGAGCTTGAAACTACTAAGCAGAGAAGCAAAGAGAATTTGGAGCAAGCTATTATGACCGAGAGGGAAAGATTTACTCAGATGCAGTGGGATATGCAAGAACTTAAACAAAAATCTTACGAGATGGAAATGAAGTTAAAATCGAGAGAGGTATGATTTGAAATAGTCACATGTCTATTGAATTATTTCTGCAACCAAACTGGTTCGCATAGATCGTACATAACTTCCCTATCGTAGAGAAGCACGCTGATTCAAATCATTTCAACAGGATCGCAGCTCACATGCAGAACCAACTGAACAGTCAACTATTTCTGAGAGAAATGTTTTGTCAAAAGAATTGGACGCCAGAAACCAACAACTGGAGGATCTCTCCAGGCGATATGATGAGTTAGAGGCAAAATCAAAAGCAGATATTAAAGTTCTTGTCAAAGAGGTCAAATCTCTGAGGCGTTCTCATGTGGAACTAGAAAAGGAGCTGACTCAATCTTTGACAGATAAAACTGAAGCCGAGGTAATTTTTGGCTCGTATATTGTTATATTTATTTTCTAATTTGGCAGGACCATAGGTTTGTGGATTTTTACTTTGCATGTATGAATACAAGAGAGATAATTGAACCTGAAACATGTTTCACTTTTCAGAAACTACTTGAACATGAGAGAAAACTACTTGAGAACACGGTATCGGCTAGAAAAAAGTTGCTTAGTGACTGCAGAATTCTCCACGACCGGCTTAAAGAGTATAACTTGAATTTGTCAACGGACGGTAATGGTAACTTCGTAGAGGACTCAACTACAGTATCAGATGCTTTGCGTTTGCTTTCAATATCTGATGATCAAATTGAGGAGGTATAGCTATATCTCTGTTTTATCTCCTTTTAAAATCATAAAGTTTCGCAACTTAGTACACCCAGTCACATCCATGGTTTCCCCTAGTAGGAGTTGCTTTTCACTGCGTCTTGATATATGCATCAGGATAAAGTTACTTTGCTAGTGTAGGGTAGTTAGGTTATAGCTGCAGCATTGCTAACACTGTCCCGGTTTGCATTTTACAATGGTGGTCGTTTCCAGGCTCAGCTGCTTGCGGGGTTTGATGAAGCTGCGCAAGACATTGATAAGTCTCTCAGCATCGATACTGAAACAAGAATCATGGAGGACGAGCTGAGAAAGATATTAGCAGATATCTTTGTCGAGAATGCCAAATTGAGAAAACAGGTGAACTCTACAATGCTTCGTGCTCTCCAGAAAGACGTAAAGACAACCGAAGATGTGAACGAGGAAAATGGTGACGAGAAAGAGGAGGCATCAACGGAAACACTGAACATATAGGTACTATAATCATAATAGTTGGCTTTGTCCTGAGAATAGTGTTCACAACGAGAACTGCCAATTTTTATCATCTTTTTATCAAAGGACACGTCGCTTTCTATTACAAAACGGTTGGTCTCTTGAAGTTGTGTAATCAAATATATATGTATACACACACATGTGAGCACCCCTTTTAATTAGTACATAAGGAAAGACATTTGTATTGCGTAGGTTTGTTTGTCTTATCGTATTGCATTACAATCCTCGCAAAACCTTGTTCTTAAAATGTGTTACAACTCGATTCAGTTCTTTGGTTCTCGGCTTTCAGTTTGGTTACACTTGAGAAAGAGAGGGAGGCTCGTATCTGCAAACACAGTCATATATGTTTCCCTTTATCAGCTTGTCAGCCAGTCTCTGATTCTTAACCATTGCTAGCTGCAAAAAGAAAAAAAAAAAAAGAGAGAGAGGTTTCAATCAAAAGTTTCAGTAGAAATTTTAGAGTTAGAACTTGTGGTTTCATACCTTGAGAGACTCGCATTTGAATTGAGCGTTGAAGTTTGTGTGAAGAGCTCTTCCCATACCTTCCAAGATAACCTGCAAAAAATCATCAAAACATCAAACAATGAACAAAGCTTAGCTCTTGTGTGTATCTAAACAGAGATGTTTGTTTGTTTGTCTATACAAGATCAGCGTCTTTAGCAGCAGCTGCAAGCTCAGAGCTGACTTGTCTGAGGTCAATGCAAGGACTTCCACATCCATTTTCAACAACCATCAATGGTGCTGAAGTTGAATCCTTCTTTGACCCATCTCCTGGATTTACCATCGCATCCACAAGTAGGCCTCCCATTTCTGCCGCTCTCCTCAGGATATCACAGTGCTTCAAGAGTAAATACATACCACAACAATTAGTTACATAACGATTATGATCCGAATGTTAAACCAATGAATACCTTAGCAGCCCCGGCGACTATATCAGGAAGTTCCATAGCAGTCACATCGTTCAGAGCAGGGAGAGAGTTTGCCACCAGAACAACCTAGAGAAGCATAATAACAATTTGTTTATTGTTTCCTCAACTAACGTCAGAAAGAAAGAGATACATACTTCAGTTCCACGGCGAAGAAACTCTCGGGCAAGTGGAAGCATTCCAAGAATGACATCAGCTCCTGAGTTATCAACAAAGAGTAACGCTCTTTTATGTCGATGTGGCTGCTTACCTCCAGACCCTAGCATCCTTTCTTTGAAAGCATCAAAATCATCTACCTGATTCATGCTTAAAACTAACAATCACCAAACAGTAAGTAACCTCAGGAAAACAGAAAAACAGGTGGTCTTGTCTCTCACCCTCCAGGGTCTCTGCATCTTGTTACGACTCATTCTGTATATTTCAATAATGGTTCCTTTGCGGTATAGATCCACACATGCTCGAGATCCCCAGTCAAATATGTTTGCAGCAAGAACACCTTCTATTAGTGTAAGCAACCTCGCTTCCTGAAAAATCCAAGACAAGTTGTCTCATGTATTAGCAACTAAACGTTTAGCATAGAGAGTAAGATTAAAAGATCACAGACCTCGTTCATTGAATCAAGCTCCTCTAGTAAATCAGGTAGAACAGCAAGTGATGCCTCGTTCTCCCTATCAATACCAAAGAAAGAAAGAGCATAAGAGAAACTCTTAAGTAGGAAAAAGATCATAGGATTATGTTATAATACCTTTGCTTGATGCTTCTATAGGCATCAACAAACTGGAACTCCCTTAAGCATTCTTCCCTAAGCTCCAATAGATTTGCTAGACCCAGCTTTCCATATGCAGCTGGCTCTTCCATCAATCTACAACCAAAGGCAAAAACACAAAAAAATCAAGATTTTTCTTCAAATTTTTATGTTCTTGAATTTTGCGTTTGTTGAATGATGAACCAGACCTAGCCAAATGAGCAGAAAAGGCACGAGCAAAAGCATCACCACGCCTTTTTGCATCCTCAGTTCCTCCTTCGCTTGCCACAGCCTATAGCCATGTCCATAGAATCAAAGTAAAACATGTGTTTATAGCCATAAAGAAGCTGGAACAAAATTTATATGTGTTAGCTTTGAATAGTTACCGTATCAACGAGGTCTGGTAAATGCTCAGACAAAACTTTGAGCCAGTACCTATACACCAAAACAATAAGCAGTCTTAAAAACAGTGCTTTTATCAAATAAAATTAATGTTTTAGAGACGAATTACTCACTCTCGTTCACCTTGGTCTGATAAGTCAATCGTGTTAGGCTCATACCTGGAGTGCAAAAAATTCGATTAAACTCACACTTCAGAACATAAATCCTCAAAAATGATGAGATATATGTACTCAGGGACACTCCACTTACGTTTTGGGGTCAGCCAGCAAAGGGAACACCTCTAGTGTGGGAACAAGATGGAGAACGCCAACATTTAAAGCACTGGCGTCAGATCTTAGAGGACTACCTCTTGATGAAGGAACATCAAACCCTCCAAGGCCAGTTGTTTTCGATGGAGTCATCGGTACAGGTGCAGTTATTTCAGTTCCTCTACGCACAAACTTTTCCATCCACGAAATCTGAAAACCAACAGGGAAAGCCTTCTTAACAATTCCAAACCAGAGTGAAGATACAGAGCGCTTATAAACTAGTTGAAGTGATGTCTCTTTAGAATAAGCCAAAGAAAATTTTGAAAAGGAGGAAGAGCACCTGATTCCAACTCGTATTCAAAAGTCAATGGACTAACCACTGATAAATATACATAAAATAAAGAAATGATAATTGTATTTTATATATGACCAGGACTTATGATTGTAGAATATAGGACAGACGAGGACTTGTGATTTGTAATCTTGCTTTTTATTAATCGTTTTAAATAAGAAAGAATCAGTAACAGGCAAGGATATCCACACAAGAATAACCATATGTTTATGCTTATTGATAAGAGAACATATTTACGAATTATAGAATCAGAATCCTTGAATTGTACTGCAGTTCATTGATTTGTTAAATAACTTATACATAACATAATACTTAAGAATATATATATTCTCTGCTCCAAACAAGACTCTTAAAGATATTCTAGTGACTCATCTCAAGCCGAATAAATATTTTGAGCAGTACCAAATCATTATGGAATCTATTTCTGTCAGTTTTAAAAGTATCAAACAGAACAATCTAAGACAAGCTAAAATATTGAGTACCTTCTCGTTCAGATCACCAAGTGGTGGTCCATGGATATTTCCTCCAGTGTATGGTGCACCCATTGGGAACCTCTCAACCAACTGATGAGACATCAAATCATCTAATCCGTGCTTCTCATAGCTCATGAACGCACCCATAGCACCAAGAAAGCCTTCATGCCTCAAGAACATTGCTTGCATCTCACCTTTCGACCTGGTGTGATCATACAACAAATCAAACAGCTGGATGATGAAAGTGGAGTTACAGGTATCACGTCTAGGTTCAAGTTTTCTAGTGAAGATTACCAGAAATGTACAGCAAACGAAATTGTGTCCATGGTATATGCATGACCCCTTATGAAAAATCCTCCAAAAAATATTCGTTTCAAGCCAAAGCGAAGAGCGTTCAAGTATGATATCTACATAACAAAATATAAACCAGAAACACAATAATATATCACATACACATTACACACACAGTGATCAAGAACTGTTACTCAAAACCTTTGGGACACATGATCTCATACCTGACCAATATTGTATGAAATCATCCGCAAAAGAGACAAGGAGATATCTTCAGGTCTGTAATCTTCCAGTTCCTTATTTTCAGAGATGGCCTTGCCAAAACTAGAAGCTATTGTTGAAGCAGAGAGGCCAATCTGTATAATCGATTAATGAGAATCAGTAGCGATTAAGCATTGTTCATAATAGGAAAATAGACTCATACCTTGGAGTAATCCATGCCACCATAAATATCACCAACAAGCATGTCAATAGTACTATTGTCTCCCTTTTGGGAGAGTTCTAGCAGTTCATCAAAACTAGAACATAAATAAAATCATTAAGCATAGGAAAGAAGAATATAAAGCAGTAGTAAAAATATTCAGATCCGTGATAACCTCTTGCACTTGGTTAGAAGTTTTCCTAATCCCCAATAGGTGCCACCACCGACATTTGTTCCACTCACACGTTCAAACTTTCCTTCTCCATCAACCTGTTAAAAATCCTTGCGTGAAATCTATAGGTTCAAGCAATTTTCTGAACTTGCAAATCTATAAGAACCACAACAGTTTGTAGATGAAGTAACCAAAAGTAAACAATCACCTTGATAATGCTGACACCAGATCCAACGTTAACAAGAAGATAGGGATACAAGTCATTGGGATCTATCTGTACAAATTCTTTCTCAGCCTCCATGTGCGTGAAGGCTTCATGTCGAATAGCCTGCAGATAAAAACGTCAAAATGAGTATAAAATCCAAAAGTATACTGACATAACAAATTCAATAGTCTTATCAGAACTATATGTACACCGAAACACTTACACACAGAGAGAACTTAAACAAACAAATCAGCTGGCCACACATAATGAGAAAATGTATTTACGTTTATGTTTTGCAAGTACTAGTAATAGACACAAGGTATGATGAATAAAGAAAGGTCTTACTAACCTTGAGCAAAAAATTAGCTCCAGAGACAAGGCAATGCATTTCATCTTCTTTTTCAATACTAACTCCCAGCCGTTCCTTGAACAAGTCTGCAAACTTATAAGCCCCACCACCTGTGACCTGTAAGATACACACATAGGCTTAATCAGCTAATCTCAAAGGCAAATCAGACAACTAACATTACATGGATATACAAGACACATGAAGATTAAAACCAAGGATTATGAGCACTTTTAATGTTTTCTGGTGTCTCAAATGCCAGAAAGAGATAAAAAGAAAACTGTCTCATAATGTGATAAAAGATGAAACAAGTAAGAAATCAAAATGCCATTATTACCTTGATAACACCAGTTCCCAAAGGCAGGGTCTTCGAACTCCAAGGATAAGGATCTAAATTCATTAATTCAAACAACAATTCGTTGAGTATAATCAGTTTGGTAACAAAGCATTCTAGATTTTTCAGTGCATAAGTTGGTGGAATATGAAGAGAAATAGGCAATACCTCGGCGATGAAGCTGCTTAGAATGAATAAAATCCAAGCACTCGTTTATTTTATGAGTCTCAAACTTGACAAAGTGAAGTCTACCACCAAGAACAGGGTAGCTTCTAAGGTTGCCATTAGTTATACCCAACCTCTCCTTGATGGTCCTCTTCCGCTTATCATCATCGTTTGAGTAGTCCTCCTCATGCCGTGAGAAATACAACAACTTTATCAAAGATCCTGTCCCAAATAAACTCAAATGGTTTCACATGTTTCAAACACAGCACATGAAAAAATTCTGAAAGAAGCATGAAACACAAGTGTAGAATCATACCACCGATATCAAGTGCCAAATGAGAGATATCATCAGACTGATTAGGCAACAGAATGGTGGGATCTCTCTCCTCGAAATTCCCTTGAATTTCAGCTTTGCTTAGATCAAGCTGTGGCCTAGAGCCAGATCTGTGGATAGAAGGCCCAGGAGCAGAAGGAGCCATATCTCTCTCACCACTACCACCACTAACACAAGCCTGAGATTTTGCTTTAGCTTCTAGTTTATCTTCAAGAATTGAATCATGCTCATCATCATCTCCTGGACCCGCCATATATATATTTAACTTTTTTATATTATAAGAAAAATAAGACACAACCAGAAAAATCGGATCACCAACAACTGCCTAACACCACAAAAAGCCCTAACTGCACATGTATTAAAGATAATATCTTCAATTAGAGACCCAAACGAGACAGAAACTCAGAACACCAGCAGCTCTCGAGAGTTTAGTCAGCAAAAGCCAAAAAGCATTAAGACACAAACTGCGAAGACTTTTCAAAGTACCCCTCCACTAAATCTTGACTCCAATTTTTCACAGAAGATATCTTCTATATTTATGATTATTTAATTATATTGGATTAACTTGATAACTTTTACCACTTAATCTTATTTATTTAATTAATCATTAATTGTAACTGGATTAATGTTCAAAACTATGGATTAGTGGTTTGGTATTATTGACCAAACTCAAACTTCATGTGATGAGAACTATGGATTAGGTAGGTTTTTTGAGTGTTCCAATGAGATGAGAAGTTTGGTGCGAGAACTAAGAAGAGGATAAGATGTGAATCGAAGCCTACTCATATGAGGAGAGAGTTCGTTTAATGTTAGTTATTATGCTACTAACCTCTTCGATAATGGATCTTTTTATATATTATTGGGCTTATTGGTGGTAAAAAGGCCTTACGTGAACCCAAAGAATACATTCTTATGTTTTATTTCGTCAAATATATAATCCGTGGCCCATTTATAACCACGCGACGTGTTAAAAAACCATGCCAGGTCATTAAAAAAACCTTAATTTACTAAAACAGATCCTGTGGCAGCGAATATGACACGTGGACGTACCGACATGAAACTTGTGAATAAGGGCAAAAAAGACTTTTGGCTTTAACCAAGATCACAACTCGCCAGCCAACAAGAGCCTCTATTTCTATTCTTTTTATTCCTTAAAAAATAAATTATAGTTTTTATCCAAAGTAGGGTCTTTTTCAATGATCCCACTCCTCCTTCTCCCTTCAATCCATTCATTACCGTGTTGCAGCTTTACATTTTGCATTTGTATTTCTCCCTCCTTAGATTCTTATTCGTCCTTCGATTTGGGTTTGTTCTCTCGTAAGCCCCTCTTCAAAGGACCACTTCTTTAAATTCGATCCTTGTGTCTGAAACAGTGATTTAGGGTTTCTTCTTGCTCTTCTGTGTTTTGGTATGCTCTCGTGATGGGTTTCTCTCAGGCTACACGCCTGAATCTCTCTTCCTACTCGTCTCTCTCTCCCTGCCAGGTTTTCACCTTCTCACTTACCTTTCCTCTATTAGAACTTTTTTGATTCTCATTTTTCTAAATAAAGCTAAGAACTTTCATGATGTTTTTACTGTCTTATTATTGGGTTTTGTTCTCTTATTATTCTTTGCTTTCCTCAAGTTTTGCTTCTTTTTTTTTTACTTTCCCTTAGAGGAAAAATTAGTACTTTCGCTTTTAACTTGATGTGTTGTGTTATTATTTTTCTTGATGCAGACAAGAGTAAACCAGAAGCAGAAGACTCTTGTTACCTTCCTTACCAGTTGTAGAAAGGGAAAGAGACGTTCTTTACTCACTGTTAAATCAGTCTTAAACAATACAAGACCAAGCTTCAACGATAATGGAACAGCCGAGCCTTCCAAGGTTCTCTTGGATAAACTATTCGCTCGGACACAGGAGCTGGATCCTCCTGACGAGGCTCTGTCCTATTCAAGCAGCCTTGGGGGGATTGAGTCTGAACTTCAAGCTGCGTTAATGGCGTTGTTGAAAAGGGAAGAGGACTTGCAGGATGCAGAGAGGAAGGTTCTCTCTGAGAAGAAGAAACTAAAGAAAGCAAAGGAAGGGTTGGAGAAGCGGGAGAGAGTGATCGTGGAAGCTTCTTTGAAGCATGAGAGTCTACAAGAGGAGCTGAAGAGGGCGAATGTTGAGTTAGCTTCACAGGCCAGAGAGATTGAAGAGTTGAAGCATAAGCTTAGGGAAAGAGACGAGGAGCTTGTTGCTATGCAGTCGTCCTTGACTTTTAAAGAACGTGAGCTAGATCGAATGCGTGTTGAGATTTCAATCAAAACCAAGGAGGTTTCTGTGGCGAGTTTTGAGTTTGAAAACAAGTCAGAGCTCTTGAGCAAAGCTAATGAGATTGTGAAGAGACAAGAAGAGGAGATACATGCACTTCAGAGAGCACTCAAGGAGAAGGAAGAAGAGATAGAAGTTTCTATGGCGGAGAAGAGACTTGAGCAGGAGAAGCTCAGAGAAACAGAAGCCAACTTGAAGAAACAGACGGAAGAGTGGTTGATAGCTCAAGATGAAGTGAACAAGATTCAGGAGGAAACTGTGAAACGCTTAGGAGAAGCTAATGAAACCATGGAGGACTTTAGGAGAGTGAAGAAGCTTCTGAATGATGTGAGATTCGAGCTTGTTTCTTCTCGGGAAGTTTTGTTATCTTCAAGAGGGAAAATGGGCGAGAAGGAGCTACTATTAGAAAAACAATTAGAGGAACTCGAGGAACAGAGGAGAAGCGTGTTGTCATATATGCAAAGCTTGAGAGATGCTCACAGTGAAGTAGAGAGTGAGAGAGTTAAGCTCAGAGTTGCTGAGGCTAAGAACTTTGCACTTGAGCGAGAGATATCACTCCAAAAAGAACTGCTGGAGGACTTAAGAGAGGAGTTGAAGAACGAGAAGACTTCGTTGGAGCAAGCTATGCATGATGTCTCCACCATTCAAGACGAGCTTGACAAAAAAACTAACGAGTTTCAGGTCTCACAATCTCTACTTCAAGAGAAAGAGACAAGCTTGGTGGAGGCTAAGCTAGAGATTCAGCATCTGAAGTCAGAACAGGCTTCTCTAGAGCTACTACTACAAGAAAAAGATGAAGAGCTCACTGAAGCGAGAAATAAATTGGAAGAAGTGAACCGGGAGGTTAAAGAGCTAAAGATGCTTATGACAAGTAGAGAAGATCAGCTTACACAGGCAACTGAATTGCTGAAGGAGAAAGATGTCCACCTTCACAGAATCGAAGACGAGTTAGGCAGTTCCAAGATGCAAGTCAGTGAAGCTGAGATGGTGGTGGAAAGAATAGCGGAGCTGACGAGCAGATTAGTTCAAGACCAGATAAGCTTTGACTCGATGCAGCAACCACTAGAGAAACAACCTCATGTTGATTACGGAATGGAGAACAAACGGCTAGTGATGGAGTTAAACTTCACCAGAGAAAATCTACGCTTGAAAGAAATGGAAGTTTTGGCTGCACAGAGGGCTTTGACGTTTAAAGACGAAGAGATCAACGTGGTGATGGGAAGACTAGAAGCAAAGGAGCGAGAACTCAAGAAACTTAAAGAAGAAACGGTCAATGATAGTGAAGATTTGAAAATGCTATATGCGTTGGCGCAAGAGAGTGTCGAGGGGAAAACAATGGGTGATCTAGCTATAGAGAAGCTTCAGCTTGAGGCAGCTCAACTTGAAGTAGAAGCTGCAACGAGTGCGTTGCAGAAGCTTGCGGAAATGAGCACAGAGCTTCTAACTGAAGCTGACATGAGTATCGATGCAGATTCTAGCTTCGTTGTAATACCAGAAAACGAAAACAGTTCATCCGACTGTATAGCCGAGGTAAAATCAGAAGTTGGGAGGCTCTGGTCATTGACAGAGAAACTCCTAGAGAATGCAGGAATCGCTGATGATACATCCACATGCATGTAAAGTGTGACTTTATTAGATTCATACGGATTAAATTTATAAGATTGATCTGTATTGTGAATTTTTTGTGTGGGTTCTGTAGAGTTACCAGTTGCTAAATAAACATGTTGTGACTTGTTACCAAGTGTTCTCAAAACTAAGATTGTTCTGCATACAAGGTTGTTGTGCCTTTGAGAATGTTAGACATGTAATAAGAGCTTTGTATCCTCTTTTCTCCATGTAAGAACGAACATACAAAACATATGTGATATTTACCCATTCAATAATGACATTAGTTATGGTAAGAAGTGTCTAGTTACTGTTTGTTCAAAATAAAAATTTATGATTTAACTAAAAGTAATTATATATTGAAAATGCGAATCTTTTTTTATATTTTATTTTATTTCATTTTTGTATTTAATTATATTATTCCAGTCCTTACATTTGTAAGCTCATCACAACAGCCTTTGATTTATTTGTGTGGTAAAGAGAAGAGATAACATTGCTAAGAAGATTACAGAGATCAGTTTTTGAGCATTCTCTTCTCATCTCTCCAAAAGCTCTCTCTCTCTCTGTCTCTCTGTGTGCTTGTGTGCAGCCATGGCAAACTCAATTATGGCATCCTCCAAACCCCTCATCTTCCTCTCCTCCTCCTCAACTCAACCAAACCGCATCATCAACCTCCCCAAACTCGCTAAACTCCCCCAGATCCCCAAACCCATCTCCTCCTCCTCCTCACTCAGCACAAAGGCTCTCTCTTTCTCCTCCGCAACCGTAAAGTCTCTAGCTTTAATCGCCGCCTTGGCTCCCCCATCCATGGCCGAAGCGATGGAGAAGGCGCAGCTCTTCGACTTCAACTTAACGCTACCAATCATCGTCGTGGAGTTTCTCTTCCTCATGTTCGCGCTTGACAAGGTTTACTACTCTCCCCTGGGGAACTTTATGGACAAGAGAGACAGTGAGATTAAAGAGAAGCTTGCGAGCGTTAAGGATACTTCCACGGAGGTGAAGGCGCTTGATGAACAAGCTGCTGCTGTGATGAGGGCGGCTAGGGCTGAGATTGCTGCTGCTCTTAATAAGATGAAGAAGGAGACGCAGGTAAGGAAATGTTAACGGAGATTTTGATCTCAGATTGTGAGAAGAGATTAATGATGGTTGTGTGTGTTTTTTTGTGGGGACAGGTGGAGGTTGAGGAGCAGTTAGCTGAAGGAAGGAAGAAGGTGGAGGCGGAGCTGCAGGAAGCGTTGGCGAGCTTGGAGAAGCAGAAGGAGGAAACTATTAAGGCTCTTGATTCTCAGATTGCTGCTCTTAGTGAAGACATTGTCAAGAAGGTTCTTCCTTCTTAAAACGAACTCTTTGTGTGTTCTGTCTTTTCTCAAAACTCTATTTTTATGAAATTATTACTGTAAATCTCTCTTCTCTCTATGTCTCTGTTGGATTGTTCGTTGAATCAACAACAGTTTTATATGTAAGTTTTCATATATGATTAGTTCTCTTCTCTTATTTAGTTTGATTGAAGTTTTGAGGAATTGGTTGTTGTGGATGAGGATTTTGATTGGAATTTTGAGGAATTGGTTGTTGTGGATGAGTGAGTCCTCATAGACTCTCAAAGATTTACATGTCACTTGAAACGAAAACAAAGAGCAAATGTGAGTTCTGTCTGAGAGTGAAGTAAGAAGAACAGAGACATTGAAGATATCAAACAGCATAATGGGCTCAGGCCCAATAAGTTTACACTGTCTTTGTTGTCAGGCCAACGTTTGTTGTCAGGCCGTAATCTTTGTGTATCCAGCGCCTGGGCAACAGAAGAAACAAAGGGGAAAGTTTACACTGTCTCCTGATGTGTTTTAACATCACACTAACACCCCTCACACCACTGTAACATTTCAGCTAGAGGCTATCGTCAGTGTTTATGCTCGTTTTGTTTGTTTGGTGGATACAGTCATGATGAAATCGAAGTTACTAGTATGTGGTTTTCGTATACTCATAAAATGGCTAAAATCATTCGTATGTATATGAGTCTAATAATATGGTCAGGCTCATCCTTTATACAATTTTTCTTATTATGTTTTATACCAAAAAAAGGCTCGAGCTGTTAAAAACACAAAAAAAATAATAAATGATATAGCTAAAAATAAGGTAAAGAAAGTGGGCTTTGTGGTTGTGGTATTAAGTACGGCACCGTGTGTCTCATTAAGCAAAACTTACGAGGCCTCCACGCCTTCTTGCTTCTTCCTTCAGGTCTGCTCTCTCTCTCTCTTCTCTTCTCTGTCTTTATCAGCTTCTCAAGTTACTTGTTACACTTTCCGATCATCGTTTCTAACTGATTTGTTTGTTTGCTTCTTTTTTCTCAGGAACTTGTAGCTATCATTACCGGTGTTAGGTTTTCATCATTTGTCTTCGTTCTTCGCCGTCACTACCTGGTGTTACGGTTTCAAAACTTCTTAATCTGTCGAAATATCAGTTTCAAACGCAAGTTCTCTCCTTCATTGCCAGTTACTCTCCTTTTCTGTGATTTTTTTTTTTTTGAGTTAACTTTCAATTTGATTACATTCGTTTGCAGATTTTGATTTAGTGAGATTTGACTTTAATTTGTTTGATAGTTTGACTTATGGTTCTGTCTTGCGCTAATTGAGTTTCATTTTGATGGGATACTGTTACTTGTTCTCCTACTTCTCCACGACACTTGTCTTTGTCCCTTGTTTGTATCGCTTACTTCTCTTGAGAGAAGAAGAACACATACACGTATCTGACTTCTCTCTTACTATTACATATATATTGTGAGGTATCTGTTTCACATTTTTGCTTAACCTCAATCTCCTCATAAATTAAGTATAGTTCACAACTGAAAGGTTGTTCCTTTTTATTATCAAACATTGGTTTTACTATTTCTCTTTATAAAGTTTGTGTGATTTTAGTTTTTAGGTAGACTAACTGGTGAAAGTATATTTTTTTTTCTGGTTTCAGATATGGATTCAAAGATAGCTGCTGAAAAGCCTGATGATTCTGAGTACGAGATCATTGAAGGTGGCTCTGAGAGCGCTTTAGCAATTGGTACAAGTCCTTGGATGAACTCTGCAACCTTGAAGCTTCGGCATCGAATTGGAAGAGGTCCCTTTGGTGATGTTTGGTTGGCTACTCATCATCAGTCTACCGAGGACTACGATGAGCATCATGAAGTTGCCATCAAAATGCTTCATCCTATCAAGGAGGATCAAAGGAAGGTTGTGGTTGATAAGTTTGAGGATTTGTTTTCCCAATGTCAAGGGATTGAGAATGTATGTTTGCTCCGTGGGGTCTCTAGCATTAGTGGAAGGGTAAGTAAAAAACAAAGTTTTTGTTTTCTCTTAGTTTCCGCTTTGTTTAATTGGAGATTTGTGTTTTGTAGATATGTATCATCATGAAATTTTATGAGGGCTGTGTTGGTGACAAGATGGCTCGGCTCAAAGGAGGAAAGCTTTCACTGCCTGATGTTTTGAGGTGATATTGCAGCTCATAATAATAGTGTCTTCTTCACATTATTATACAAAATACTAATGACCTCGCGTCTATCTTGAACCACCCTTTACAGATACGGGGTTGATCTGGTTACAGGGATCCTGGAGTTGCACTCAAAAGGGTTTCTGATTCTCAATCTCAAGCCCTCTAACTTTCTTCTCAGTGATAACGACAAGGCCATCCTCGGAGATGTTGGAGTCCCTTATCTCCTTCTTAGTATCCCTTTGCCAAGTTCTGATATGACAATGAGACTTGGAACTCCAAACTACATGGCTCCAGAACAGTGGCAACCGGAAGTAAGAGGTCCCATGTCCTTTGAGACTGATTCTTGGGGATTTGGTTGCAGCATTGTGGAAATGCTGAGTGGTGTACAGCCTTGGTCTGGCAAATCCGCCGATGAGATATACGACTTAGTGGTCAGAAAGCAAGAAAAGCTTAGTATCCCCAACGGCATTCCACCACCCCTCGAGAACTTACTTCGAGGTTGCTTTATGTATGATCTTCGAAGCAGACCATCAATGACTGACATCTTACACGTCTTAAAGAGGTAAAAAAATTCTGATGTTTTATTCTTTATTCTTGATGTACATATTATAAATTGGCACTTCCAGCCACCTTGAAGTGTGATACTAACTGCAACTTATTTTGTAGCTTGCAGAACTCAGAGGAGGAAGAGGTGTGGAGAGGCATTGATAGTAGAGAAATCAGGAAGAGCTCGGCTGCTCTCGGTTATACAGAATGGTTTCTTTCAAAGGATCATCTCCGAGTGGGCGACACGGTGCGTTCAAGAAAGCCTGCCAATTCTTTTAAGCATGAGAACATGGATGTGCCAGAAGGAACAGTGGTTGGTCTAGAACGTGACACCGATCCAGATGAGTTTGCTCTGGTTAAAGTCCATGGTGTTCATGATCCGTTAAGGGTTCACGTATCAGTTCTCGAACGGGTAACAAACGGCTTAGCTTCTGGAGATTGGGTACGTCTGAAGGAAGGGGAAGACAAGAGGCACTCTCTGGTTGGTGTTATCCATTCAATAGACCGTGATGGAAACGTAGCTGTTGGGTTTATAGGGTTACCAACTCTCTGGGAAGGGACTTCATCGCAGCTTCAGATGGCTAAAGGATACAACGTGGGTCAGTTCGTGAAGATAAAAGCCAATGTTGTCATTCCAAGATTCAAATGGATGCGTAAAGGTAGAGGGATTTGGGCAACAGGCAGGATCTCTCGGGTTTTACCAAATGGCTGCCTTGAGGTGGATTTCCCTGGAGTGTTGCCTTTTGGAGAGGAACATGGAAGCTGTCTTGCAGATCCAGCTGAAGTAGAGATTGTGGATTTCAATACGTGTGAAGGAGTTGTGAAAAAATATCAGCATCTGGAGGACTTTCACTGGGCTGTGAGACCTTTGCTGATTGCCATGGGTCTATTGACAGCGATGAAGTTAGGTTTATTCGTTGGGAAGAAAGCAGGAAGATCAAAGGATGGGAAACAGCGTGATGGCTCTGGTGGACAAGGTGGTGATTGTCAGATTCTGGATGGTCAGGACTCTGGTAAATCAAAGTGGCTTGTGTTCAGTGTTTAAGGCTGTGATTTAGGTTTGTGTCAAGCCTGGTCTAGTATGCTCTTATATTCTATGTTCTAGCAATGGGTACATGTACATAATAACATTGTTTTACTTTCTCGTATGATGTCAAGCGTATAACATCATCTTTATAAAACCAAAGACTTGTCTTATCATTTGTTTATTACAAATTGCTGGTCAGGTTTCCAAAGATAAAGTGTTTACATATAAACATGAAGATTAGGAAATCAAAATCTCTACAAGAACCAAATGAGAAGAATGTTTAGCAGACAGATAGTGATGAGTTTTATTTCATGTTTAAGAGATGAGTTTTTTCCTGTTCCAGACATCCTTCTCCGAGTAACACTTGAAACGAAACCTTGCAATGAGGTTGTTAAAAGCTCTGAGGTGACTAGACGTAGAAGCAGACACGTTTCTGTGTTTAGTCCCTCGTTGACTTGGTGTTGACTTGTAAGAGAGCCAACCTCCCAATACAGTCGAGAGAAAGCTTGGTTGCGTCTGAGTGATTGAGTCAACACCGTCTTCTTGTCCTTGTGTTCCTTTCTTTTTCCAGGTTTCGGTTTTGAGTGAGAACCTAGATGGTCTAAAACATGTATCTGTTTGATGAGATGCTAAAGAAAAAACACTAGCGGTAGTGAAAAGAGGGAAAGATATTCTTACAGTTTGAGTTGTTTCAAAGAAGAAACATGTGGTGTCTTACTCTTCTGGTTAACCATCATGGTGCAGTAGTTTGATATATGCCGGATGAATCGAAGCTGAATAATGTTTGTCCAAAAGACTCATTAACGCATTAAAAGATCAAACAAATAACAGACTCATGGATGCATATTAGAGTTGTTAAAGAGGCAGGCCAGTACAAACCTGATCTCCGTCTTTAATGCCGAACTCAATGAGGAAGTCAGCCTCGTTAAGCAATCTATGATCTTCATAAGATAAGCAGAACTGTGCCCAAACATGCGGCCTACATATAAATGGTACTCACAAGAATAAGATTAAGATCATCAAGAATCACATAAAAGAGAAGACACAAGAGGAAGACTTAAAAAAAAAGATACCAAGAGACTTTGCCACGGCCTGTGGTGGGCAAGTGAGAAAACGCAGCTTCTACCGCCATCTTGAGCTCCCCTATAGTAGCTGTCTTCAACACTCGAATATCTACTCAAAACAAGTTCACACAAACAGTAAACCACTAACTCAGAAACAAGTCCAAGAATCAAGCAAGAAACAAGAAAGTGGTCGTTACCAAAGGAAGATCCATCAAGTTTGAGAACAGTGAGCTTGATGGGCTCCTCAGGCATCTGGTTATAATTAAAACTTCTCCGACGAGGGAGACCATCTATGAGGCGGAGAGGAGAGATAGAAGCAGCCAAAGAGCGGCGTGGAACTTCCATGGAAAAATCAAGAACAAGAACAAGAAACTGATTATCTTTTTCTTAATTTCCTGACTAAAGAAAGACAAAAGTGTGGAAGTTGAGTGTCAGAGTGGGAGAATGATGAGAGATAGTGGAGATACTTTGAAGGGAAACAGGGTTACTTCAGGTATCCTCTCTCTGCTTCTTTCCAGCTTACTTTACTTTTCCCGGTTAGATATGTTTTGCTTTCTAAGAGCGCAATATAAAAATACTTATTTGACTAATATAAAACTTTATGGAGGTAATGAACAGCGAGCACCCATGGCCTAATGGATAAGGCGCTTGACTTCTAATCAAGCGATTGTGGGTTCGAGTCCCACTGGGTGTGTTGTCTTTTTGTTTTTCATCTTTCGTCCACTTTTGATGTTAAACTCGAAGTACATTTTGCTCTCTTCTACTCACCTCGTCTACCGTTTGTTTAGATCTAAATCAAAATTTTGATTATATTAGATTCCTAGAGAACTGAGTCACGCTTCTCTATGGTGTTTGTATACAAACGGAAAGAAGCATGCAAATGATAAGAGTGAATCAATCCCAAAGAAAAAAAAAAAATCGGTTTCTTTATAATCTAGTTATGTTTCACCTTCTTGAAGCACACAAGTTCAAAAAAAATGGACTAATACTACTCTAACTTCACCTGCAAAACCAAAGTTGAACATCTGCTTCATGAGCATTACTGGCCATCAACTTCTCGTTGAACTAAGGCTTCCCTTTTGCTTATTTCTCAGCGAGCCCTTATGATCACTAGAGCCAAACCTGTTTATGACTCTGGCTCTTCTTTTGTTTTGGAGCAGCGTACAGAAGTTACCTCCCAATGATCTTGTAATATGCATATAAACCAGAGCCGAAGAAACCAAGAAGCTGTCCAATCACATTCATCTGCGTGAACCAACCAAAAATACAGTACTAAGTTTTTGCAAAAGTAGATTGGCAACTTTAGGATCAATACGATGAAGATATACCAGGTCGAATGGGAGTCCCCCAAAGAGCATCCAGCCTAGTCCAACTGTGAATAAGTCCTGCAAATGATGATACAATATTCAAAGTTTCTGTTTTCGGTTTTCAAATCATATGACACATAAAGGTGAAACTGACCTTCATGTTGCCACAAATTGTTTGCGTGACAGCCGAGTTGAGAGTGGTGTTGAGAAAAACGCTGTAGTTTAAGAAGAAAGCCAACACGCACGAGCAGAGTAACACAACCTAGGTGAGAACATAAACATGGAAACATATAATCAGTCTCCCAAACACAAAATGGAACAGATACAAGACATAAGAGAGATTTACAATACCATGAAACCAGGAGAAAAGAGGTAGGGAAAGGTAATGGTGGTCTTCAAGTCACCGCAAATATATGTCCAAACCATCAATATAGGTCCGCATATGATTCCTATCATCGAAAAACTAACAAATTCAAAGCAAATCTTGGGAGTTTTAGGTCAAATCTTGTTATCTGCTTAGATTATTACCATTGCACCACATGAGGCCAAAGCTATTCAAACCACTTGATTTCCCTGGAGAATCAGACATTAGACACTGAGTAAAAAAAGATTCAAAACCAGTAGGAAGGACTATAACAACTTGTACCAGTCCGGGCGATGGTTGCTAGATATACTGCTGTTGTTATATTGGCTAAGAAAACAATAGCATATCCATAGAAATCAAAAGACAAGTCCCTAGCTCCAGCAAAAAATGCGCCAAACAAGATAACGCTGACACTGATATATCAAGCTTACAAGAGTTTAGTTTGTGCATTAAAAAATCAGGGTGTATGAGAAAAAACTGTGATTCACCTTCCAATGATTGACCGCGTATATCTCTGACCTGTGAGCATGTACTCAATCACCATAGTAAACGCCACTGTAGTGCGTCTAAGCGTGGTGTACATGGGAACATTTACCCCTCTGATAGATGCCATAGAGGCTAGCTTTCAGGGGATAGCAAAAAAAAATTGTGATCAGAGTTACTATTCACAAGATTTAAACAACAACAAATAATTATTATCAAGCTTGTTCAGTAAAATGGTTACCATGTACAGAAGATAAGCTATAGAGAGAGGAAGGGTGTGAACCAATGTCTTCAACGGCACAAAAGTTGAGGCATTATCAGAACTTGAAAACGAATCAGCCGCTGTGAAAGAGATGATCTTCTTGCGCCTCAACATATATAGAAACAAGGTAGAGGACACCATCTGTGGAAACAAAAAGTGTCAATCTACATAAGATATTGCCCTCACAGAACCTAAGTGAGACTGAGAAAAAACAGAGTCACTGTGTATACCTGAAATAGTGTGATAACATTAACACAGGGGAACTCATAGGACGAGAGAGCTGCTTTATTGAACAGAACAAGCATAACTGTAAAATAACACCAAAAAGAACATACATATCTGATGTCAACAAAAAAAAAAAGAACATACAAATCTCAATGCCACCACATAGATTTCGATTAACTTTTGATTAACCTTCAAAACAGTGAACCACATTCTCAATTCTCATATCTGCCAGTTCCACATTTCAATAAAAATTACACAAACATTCAATATGACATTCCCCTACACTAGTAACTACTTAGTAACCCCATTATGTATGAAAAAAATACTGAACGATAAAAAAAAAATGAAGAGCTTTATGATCAATATCGATAGATAAAATATAGTGCGAATAAATTCAAAGGATGAAACTTTAACAACGCAGACGTAAAACCCATTTTGTCTTCATCGTAGCATTAATAACAGTGGAAGAAAGCGAATCAGAGAGAAGATGAAACAAGTGAAATCAGAGGAGATTACCAGCACATGCCATGTAAGAGATAGCAGCGTAAGCGCCACGTTTTGTCATGGCGGATCCTTTGAAAAGACGATCCTCCACGCCTTTACCGTCGATATCATTCTCTCCGGCGAGAGGAGGATCAGAAACTGGAAGAACAGGATTACTCATCGTCGACGTCGAGAGAGGAAGACTCTCTCCACGCTCTTCGTCTTCCTCCGCGTTAGCCAACGTGTCTCTCTCTGAGTCCTTGTTTGCTCTCTCTCACCCTCTGGCGAAACTCGCGCGTCACCGAGACTGACCGTAGAAGACACGGCAAAATTTGAGTTAACAACTCTCTGTTTTTTTTTGTTTTGTAATAATTTCGGGGAATGTCACGTGTTTATATATATATGGGCCAAGGCCCAATTCAAGAAATGGTTTTTGTATTAACCCATTTAAGTATCTGGGCTAAGCCTGATTGGATCTCAACTTTGTTAGTTTTTTTTTTTCTTTTCTTTTTCGTCCAACATCAAATATTCAAATATCAAATGTACCAGAAACAATGTAGATCACAATGTATTTTTTAGTGTAATATAACTTGTTAGCCTAAAATATATATTTGTAATGAATCATTGAGGATTTTCATGGAGATATGATAATGATCATTGTGGAGGAGGTTGATGACGGTTTTGGAATTTTGATTTTGGAATAGTGTGTTTACTTCTGGTAGTGAAATGCAAAAGTTAGATCATACTATTTTCCAGTACTCTTTAATTAAAGCATCTTCGTGAACCGTTAATCTCTTAATAGCTATATAAATCAAGAAGTTAGAATAATAAATGAATGAATGGGGTAAAGTTTATGGTACGATTCGTAAACTAGTAGTTGAGGAGACATAGAAGAAACATGATAAGACTTTGGTATTTACAACTTGATGGAGACAAGACATTGAGCCAAAGCTGTCCGAAACATCACTCAAACTCTTTTTTTCTCAGTGGTTTTGAGTTAAAAAGTTAGATTCATTCACTTCTCCCCTTTCCTATAACACTTGTGTGTCCCCCTCTTCTCACTCAAACAAACACTTTCCATCCTCCCACGTGCGTTCTTTATTATACATCTCACAACTTCTAGATCTTGAATTTCAGTTCTCTAGTGGATTAGGTTTCTTGTCGGTACATTATGTAACCACTTTATTATTAGATTTGGGCACATATCTATAATTTTATTCGTTTTGTACCTGCTGCATAACTCGCATCCGTTCCTAAAATAATGATTTTAAATCATATCACATTAGGTTTTATTATAGTTTTTATGGTGAGATATTTGTTCGGTAGTCTCCGTTTTGAAAATACTTGCATACCCTAAAATCATGCAAAAATTGACGGTGTTTCGGATTAAAAATGTTGATGGTTATAGTATATGAAAATATGACGTCTCACGTATAAACTAATAACATTAACCAATGAAATGGTATGAACTAATAAGTTTTTATTATTTTATAAGTTTTTGCTACTTTTCTTGGTGAGATAATAACACCACCAGATCGATTTCACGAGCTAGACTACAAGTGCGAAAGTGGTTCCCACACAAGTCATATGGTCCTTTAACCTTTAAAGCCCATCCTTCAGTGGTCGTCCCGACACTACGGCACGAGTAGTCACGCACGCACGACTCCGTCCACGTGACATTCACGTTGATATTTCCCCATCTTCTCTCAGCTGTTTGGTTGATCTTAAAAACATGTAGACCAACCAAAATTCAAATTAATATTGATATGGACTTCAGATTCAAGTGTCACTTTCGTAAACCAGATTTACATCTTACGGAATTATTTCTTGAAAAGGCTGTGGGTTAAGTTCTTAATATTGTGTTATGCACAAGCACAACATATATCCTTATATCAACAGTATTTATTCTTAAATTAAAACAATCATATGTCAACGTCAAGCTAACAAATGAAAATATATAACTATATATATGATTAGAGTAAAACAAATAGAAGACGATTAAAAACTATAACACACAACATATATCCTTGCATCTAACAGTATTTTTTCTTAAATTAAAACAATCATATGTCAACGTCAAGCTAACAACTGAATATATATAAAACTATATATGATTAGAGTAAAACAAATAGAAGACGATTAAAAACTGTACAAAAACAATAGTCTTCTAGGATTTGTTTAATGTATTTCTCTGGTCTTCATGGTGCTTTTGTTGCTTACTTAATCTCGACCAGATACTAGTATAATTTAGTTTTAATACAGTTGTTAGTAATTCTACCAATTGTATCTAGTAAATCATTTGGAGGAAGGTAACTAGGTTATGAGTTCGAGTCTGTCGATGTCATGGTATGCTATCTAAACAAAACATCCGCAATAACAAAAAAATGTTGTATGAAAAAAAAATGTTGTATGATAACAGAAACAAAACACTTGTTAAAGAAAATCTTTATACAACGTAACATATTTCTACCCAAATAGCCAAATAAGGTAGTGTACTCAAACTCAGGATAGGCATACAGTAATAGCTAGCTCGTACTGATAAGTTGGTCTAAACTCTTCCCAAAATATTTGTAGCTGAAATCAAAATTGTAATAGTGAAATCAAGCTAGAAGAGTCTAGTGATAGTTGCCTCTTAAATGGTTAACAAAATTGTGACAAGCTGAAAACAATTCAGAGGTTGCTATTGGATAACATCATTCTTAAATGTCAAAGTATTCCGTGTGAAGTCAATTTTCTAGTAGAAACATAGAATGTAAACAAAAATATAGGAGGTTGTCCGCTCCAACAATAACCAGACTTGTCTATTAATATCCATGTTAGATGGATGTTGCATGTCTATATTCGTTGAATCGTGTGTCCCTTGACGATGGTCGATGCCTCTTCTTATTTCTAGCTTACTAGTATATACACTTCTTTATCATATCCTTAGACTCTAGTATTTGCTTTAGTTCTCGTACTAAATACGCTAATTGGATAAGTCTGAATTAGTGACGCAAACATATAAAATCAGATATAAACGAACCACAAAAACTGAATTGATTACATTTATAAGTTTAGGACTAAATATATTTAATAATTTATCATATAAGAAATGTATCTACAAAGTCCATAGATTATATCGATTGTAGTTACATATTTGTAGTTGAAGTTATAAAACTGCAAAGAAAAAGGAGTTAACATCTAGTGTAGATAAATATAAGAGCTAAATATGTTTATATTTTGAAAAGCATAACAACTTAGATAAAAATAATACTAATGTACAAATGTGTTAGCATCAATGTTGGGATATTGGCCGACCTGAACTTAAATATTGTCTGAGGGCATTACTTATGTCCCAAAAGACAAAGGTCCTCGTTCCTCTTTCCCCTTTCGGAACTTCCTCACTACTTTTCTCTTCATCTGAAAGCCTTAAATGTATACATATTAGAAACAAACTAAAATTAAAAAGGTAATAAATTTCTTATAGATAAACAAAGTAAAATTAAAAAGGTAATAATTTTTTACCAAGTTTTTTTGGTAAAAATGTTAAATTTATTACCTTTTTCTGTCAAGATTGAAAAAAGTAATAAATTTAACATTTTTACCAAAAAAAAAAAAAAACTAAAATTAATTTGTGACCAAGACTATTGATCATTCACTTAATTTTGCACGATTGCTAGTCTGCTAAGCTACTTAAATCTAATAATTAGTACGAATCTCTATTATTGTATTCACCTAAACAAATATCGTTTAACTGGTGAAACGTTATTTCATTCATGTTGGATATGAATTTAAGTAAATAGGATGTAAATTTTTGAAGATGAGAGCATTTGCCCCTAGTCAAGGAGATATTTTGAACTATTAAAAGTTGAGGATTTAACGGAAAAGGAATCATTAGTATTCTAATACTTTGATTAATTACTTGTTTAGTTTATTTAGAATCGTGTTCCTTAAGATACCATAAACACACATCCATCGACATCTATATTTGTGTGAGTACATAAATGCTGACGATAAAGCCATATATCCTTCCTTGACTTTGGTACCCTTTCCTTTTACTATAAATACTCAATACTCATGATCACTATTTATGACACAACCACACAACCTTTTCAAAAACCAAACAACAAAAGAACATAAACTTCTTTAGTTCCATCAAAGACGAAAGCTTCACCAAAGAAATGGAGCTTGACCTTGATCTCTCTCTTTCACCTCATACCAATTCTTCAAATTTCGGGTATGGCTTCGACCTCAACAAGCATTGTGGGATTGAGGGCGTTGCGTCTTGTTTGAATACTAAAAAAACTTGTTTTCGGTTGGAGAATATGGATGAAGATTGTTATGTGCCAAAACCACGTTCGTTTTCTTTGAGTGGCCAGCCAGACGAGGAAGATGACGATCCTTTGGAATCTGAGTACTCTTCTATTGTTTACGAGTGAGTAACAAACTATACATTATGATCTTACCAAAAAAAAACTATACATTTTGATAATAATTAGGTTAAACTAGGTTTCTTTATTTATAATAAGTTACTTATAAGTAGAGACTCTTTTGCCCAAAAAAAAACAAAAGAAGTTTATTATTAGACTCTTATGTTGCGTAGTTAACAGGAAATCAAGGAGACATTATAGTTCTTACAATATTTAATTAATATTTTTAAAGTGAGGAGTAAAGTTTCGGGTCACCAATAAAGTCACGTATGAAAAAGTATCTTAATTATCGTCAACATAATCGTAATCAGTCATATCACCATCATGGTAGGAGGAACAACATATCTAATCAACCGGCTACCATTGAAAGTGGTACCTCAGCGAGATCATCAATGTATGTTAAGGTGAAGATGGATGGTGTGGCAATAACAAGAAAAGTGGATATCAAGCTTTTCAACTCTTACGAGTCTCTCACAAACTACTTGATCACCATGTTTAGTCAGTGTGAGTGGTACTTTAAGAGATGATAACATAGCATATAACCTCTCAAGAGTTTTGAGTATTGAATATATTTTTGTTTTGTCAGACCAAGACTGTGATAGAGAAGATACAAACTATAAATTCACCTTCCATGGGAAAGAGGGTGACTCGCTTTTACTAGGGGATGTTCCATGGAGGTATGTTTACTTCTCTATATGCTTAAGATAAATATACAGTTCAAGAAAATGAGTTTTTTTAGTAGTACAATCTTTTCTTTCTTTTCAAATGTATATAGCGGATCTCTATATTTGGATATGATTGACTGGCATATTAATATCTAACTTGTTGATTTGGTTTTGCAGGATCTTTACTGAATCTGTTCATCGAATATCAATAACTAGAGATTGTCTGTGTCCATATACAAGACTTCTGTTTTAAAGATTACAAAAATCAAAGCGACTACTATTTCTATAACTAAAATGTCTATCTGGTTACATTTCCACTCGAATTATGTCTCCTGTATCCTCCTAGTATCCACTTCATTTGTTTAGTTATTTTTTCATCACTTATCAAGAATCATGGCTGAACATGCATGGAAAGATAAAGAAATTTCCTTAATAAGAAGGATTTAGTGAATAACTACGGATCAGGTTCATACCAAAAAAACTACGGATCAGGTTTGGGTACTCGATGGGCTTTGTAGATACGGTTAACATGAGGCTTTATTAGATACATACTTCGAGTATAAAGCCTGACAGACTGATGATCCTAGATTTGCACTGTGATACAACGTGCCTCCACGAAAACCATTTCTTTCCACCGTATTATATAAAGGTAATGCTGAATGATCGAAGCAAAACAGGGAAACAAATCTACTTTAATTTCCATTTAGCAAGCGTGTAATCAAGGTGTAAGCTTTTCTGATTTCTATATACAAGTTGCAATTAATTATTTGTAAAGAAAAAAGAAAATGTATCCTTTTTTTTTGTCACAGTAAGAAAATGTATCCTATTTTTGCAAAAAGAATATCTAGAAAATAAAATGAAAATCTGCTCAAATTAATAATTTTTAGACATATAAGGAGGGTTCATTCATGTTGTAAAAGAAACAGCTGTAAAACAAATTATCATTTCTACAAAACGTTAAAATTTCTTGCTTTTCACAAAACAATATCATTAACCGTGTTTGTCCAAGAAAAAAAAAAAACATTAACAGTGTTCAGACCGAAGAGTTTCAGACAAAACGGCTCCGTTAACTCCGGTTACAAAACAATCGCAATCTCTTTTAGATCAAACTGCTCACATTAATCCACGTCATCCTAAACTCAATCTCTCTTTAAAAATCTCTCTCCCTCTGTCTAAACTAAAGCCACTTCATCTTGACTCGTTCGATGGATCTAATAACACCCCCAACAAGTCGTACTTAACATCTTCCTTCACCTTCTCCATTAGATCTCAGATCCCGATTCCGTCTCCTCCGCCCCACAAATATCATTTCCTCCACCGGAGATCACATCTTTTCCATCTCTCTCCCCCCTCAGATCTAGCGTATTAAGGTATTTTTCCAAAGAATATTCCACCAAAATAAACTAAATATCGTAACGATCTTCGCTGATTAATCTCAAATCTCCCTTCAATCTCTCAACAAACCTACTCTGTTTTTTTCCTCTGTTTTACTTGTGATTTTTCTTTTTTATTCCGAAGAGTTTGACTCAAAACCACACCATGGCGTTGAGCATACGCAAAGCGATCGGCGTTGTCAAGGACCAGACAAGCATCAGCATAGCCAAGGTAGCAAGCAACATAGCGCCAGATCTGGAAGTGGCGATCGTGAAAGCCACAAGCCACGACGACGACCAGTCAACGGAGAAGTACATCCGCGAGATCCTCAGCTTAACATCCCTCTCACGCGGCTACGTCCACGCCTGCGTCACCTCCGTCTCTCGCCGTCTCACCAAGACTCGCGACTGGATCGTCGCTCTCAAGGCCCTGATGCTGGTCCACCGTCTCCTCAACGACGGCGACCCTCTTTTCCAGGAGGAGATCCTCTACGCGACCAGGCGAGGTACGAGGATTCTCAACATGTCGGATTTTCGCGATGAGGCTCATTCAAGTTCGTGGGATCACTCTGCTTTCGTCAGGACGTATGCTAGTTACTTGGATCAGAGGCTTGAGTTGGCTCTTTTCGAGAGGAAAGGGAAGAATGGGAGTGGGAGTAGTCATCAGAGTAATAATGGTGAGTCTAGAGATGATTTTCGGTCTCCACCGTCGAGAGGTTATGATTATGAGAATGGTTATGGTATGCATAAGAAGTCTCGGTCTTTTGGAGATGTGAGTGAGATTGGTGGAGGGAAAGATGTTGTTACTCCTTTGAGAGATATGCCACCAGAGAAGATTTTTGGAAAGATGGGGCACTTGCAGAGGCTGCTTGATCGGTTCTTGTCTTCTCGACCTACCGGTTTAGCTAAAAGCAGTAGGATGATCTTGGTGGCGATGTATCCGATTGTGAAGGAGAGTTTTAGGCTTTATGCTGATATCTGTGAGGTTTTGGCTGTTCTGCTTGACAAGTTTTTTGAGATGGAGTATACGGATTGTGTTAAGGCCTTTGATGCTTACGCTAGTGCGGCTAAACAGATTGATGAGCTCATTGCGTTTTACCATTGGTGTAAGGATACTGGTGTGGCGAGATCTTCTGAGTATCCTGAGGTTCAGAGGATTACTAGTAAGTTGTTGGAGACGCTTGAGGAGTTTGTGAGGGATAGAGCTAAGAGGGGGAAGAGTCCTGAGAGGAAGGAGATAGAAGCTCCTCCTCCTGCTCCGGTGGAGGAGCCAGTGGAGGATATGAATGAGATCAAAGCGCTTCCTCCTCCAGAGAACTACACTCCTCCACCTCCACCACCTCCCAAGCCAGAGCCGGTACCGCAGCAACCGCAAGTAACCAATGATCTAGTTGACCTGAGGGAGGATGGTGTTAGTGGTGATGACCAAGGAAACAAGTTTGCTCTTGCTCTCTTTGCTGGTCCTGCTAGTAGTAACGGAAAATGGGAAGCTTTCTCCTCTGATAACAGCGAAGTGACATCAGCTTGGCAGAATCCAGCAGCTGAACAAGGTAAGGCGGATTGGGAACTTGCGTTGGTTGAGACAGCTAGTAATCTCGAGCATCAGAAAGCGGCAATGGGAGGTGGTTTAGACCCGTTGTTGCTCAACGGTATGTACGATCAAGGAGCTGTTAGACAACACGTGAGCACCTCTGAGTTAACAGGTGGAAGTTCAAGCAGCGTGGCGCTGCCTTTACCGAGTAAAACCAACAGCCACATACTAGCACTCCCTGCACCTGATGGAACCGTTCAGAAAGTGAACCAAGACCCTTTCGCTGCTTCCCTAATGGTCCCACCTCCTTCGTATGTGCAAATGGCTGAGATGGACAAAAAGCAGTATCTATTGACACAGGAGCAGCAGCTATGGCAGCAGTATCAGCAAGAAGGAATGAGAGGTCAAGCTAGTTTGGCTAAGATGAGTCCTGCCCCAAACGGAATGCCTTATGGGATGCCACCGGTTAATGGGATGGGACAGCCACCGATGGGGTATTACTACAACAACCCTTACTGATATCATTTGGCTTTTTTTCTTTTCTTTTTTTTTTACATAAATATATATATATTTTCCGACCAATATAATTACTTTGTGTTACAATCCTGTTTCTTCTTGTATTGTTTCCGGTTATGACTCTGCTTGAACGTGTGAGACTTTTTCCCTCTTTTGAGTTTGATTAATAAGTCACCGAAACATTTTTCTCGAATTTGTAAAACATTGAATTCTTATGAGATCGCTTGGTTATCTTTGCCCGTTTGTGTTTGAGCTGGGTGAAGCTAGCGAGTAGCGGCTGGTAAATGTAATTATCTTTCTGTTTTTGTTTGACTAAATTTGTTTATCGCTGTATGATGTTACGCTTCTAATCAAACAGGTTGTGGGCAGACTTCATGTTTCCTTGTGTATTAGTTTCAGATAATTGGTTAAAGTGTCCTATTTGGCACGACTTGCTATGATGTGACAATCATTTTCTTTTGCACTATTTTGACATTCTCTATATTCTCTTTTTTCTCTTTGACATCTTCCTCCCCTTCTTTTTTTCTCTTCAATCCCTAATTATTTTATAAATCTCTATCATTTTATATACAATTAAATTTTAAATTTCATTATTTTTTCATAATTGACTTTGAATCCTCAATTTTTTTACCTTTTTTTTCTCTCCATTCCCTAATTATTTTACAAATCTATATCATTCTATATACAATTAAATTTTAAATTTCATTATTTTTTTGCATAAGTGGTTTTGAATCCTCAATTTTTTGATGATATCAATTTTCTGGGTTTTAGATTCGACGTCGTGTTAGCGGTTAACAAATATTGTAAATGTTAACAGAAGTGTTAGTTGTTAACAATTATGTTTACGCTTCGCGTTAATAAATGTGTTCGCTGTTAACAAATATTGTAGACGTTAACAGAAGTGTTAACTGTTGACAATTAATTTTACGCTTCGCGGTAATAAATGTGTTGACTGTTAACAAATATTATAGACGTTAACAGAAGTGTTATATGTTAACAAATGTTTTTACGCTTCGTGTTAATGATTGTTGACTGTTAAAAGGACATTTTCGGCATTTCCTTGTCAAATGATTGTGTCAATGTCCTTCATATCCAATCAATGATATTTTGCTAATTTTAACTTCAAATATGGGTAGTTCACTAAATCACTTTATTAGTTTTCCTGCTAAACACTCTTCTCGATGGTGACTGAAACCAAGGAAAATAGATAATAATTTGAATGCTAAAACAAACCAGTAACTATTAGACCAACAAATTAGCAGCACCCTTTCAATAACGTGTTCTAAAAACTTTGAAGAACATGAACCTTGAAAGGATAATGACAGACGTTGCTAACAAAAAAAAACAGTGAAGAACATGAACCTTGAATGGATAATGACAGACTTGTTTTTTTCCCAGCTACTATTATATTACAATTATTTAAAAAACTTTGCTAACAAAATAAAAAAACAATTTAAACTTGTTTATGCTTTTTGATGCTTCGCTTGTAACCAAAGAGGTAGTGGGCAGACTTCATGCTCCCTTGTCTATTAGTTTTCCTGCTAAAACACCACTCTTTACGATGGTGAATGAAACAAAGGAAAATAATTATAATTTGAATACTAAAACAAACCGATAACTAATATTAGACGAGCAAATTGGCAGCACCCTTTCAATAATGTGTTCTAAACATAGATAACCTCATTATCCTTAATAACAGAAGAAGCCAATGAAATACATAAACCTTGAAAGGTAATGACAGACTTGTTTTTTCTCCCAGCTACTATTATATTACAATTATTTTTTAAACTGTGCTAACCAAAACAACAAATCTAAATTTACAACAATACTATCAGAGAGCCATTCAATTAACACAGGCAGAGTCATTGAACAACACAGTTCTAGCCATACCCATCAAAGCCCCAAGAGACTCAGGAGAAAACTTCCTAGCAAATAGAAACGGATCATTCCTCCCAACAGACCAATCCGAACCGTTGATTCCATCCTCACCGTATCTCGGCCGAGTATCCCTCAGCCGCACGATCAGCTCAGGCACCACTTCCTCTGCCTCGTAAATCCTCGGGTGACTTCCGTTATTGGCGCTCCAGTCCACGTGAGTAAGTGTGGCGGGAACACATCCACGCGGGTCCCTCATATTAAGAAGCGTAGCAAAATAAGTTTCGTCAGGATAGCACGAGTATTCCCACACGCACGTTTGGTTAAACTTCCCCCAGATACGTCGATCACGCGCCACTAAATGCGCGTGTTTCCTTTTCAGAACCCAGAACTGCGACCCGATCCGAAACTCATCAAGTCTTACCTCCGGGAGCATTGCGTTGGGCCCCCACGCGGCCCATCTATCGAACTGCAACGGCTCGTCTTTGAGTATCTCGATGAAGCTCCGGTTAGAGGAGACCAACGTGTTGTAAGTGAAGTCAAAGGAGTGAATTGGTACGCAAGAAGGTGAGAAGAGAGCAAACATGTAGTTTTTTGGATCGTCTAGAAGCGCGTGAGCTATTAGCCGACGCGCTGCAGCGGCGAGAGTGGGTGAGTTTCGTATCGAGGGTTTTGAGTGAATGACTCGATTCTCAAACACGCCCGAGAACGGCGGGTCGTACTCTCGGGTCGGATCCGCGTGAACATAGACGTTATAGAGCTCATTGGAGCTTCCGTTGAAGAACGTTTCCCACAATGGCGCGAAGGGAAGAGGCGTCGTCGTTAGAAACATAAAAGCGAGCTTCCGGGTCGACCCGGGAGAAGGCTGGTTCGGGTTAACCCGAGAAGCGAGTCGAAGAAGCTGTCCATCGTCCTTAGGAATCAGCGGACGAAGTCGAACCACCGGAGAAGAAGGATGTACGTTTCGTGGGTAAAGAGAGCGGAAGCTAGACTCCGGCGACACTACGGCGGTGATTTCTCGCTGGACTATGAAGATGACAGCAAGCGGAAGACAAAGAAACAAAGCGCAGAAGAGAGGAAACAATGTTGGAGACAGCATATCTCTCGCCGGTAAATTGAAACCAGCCGCTACTCTCATTTTGTAGAGAGGGACAAAGCGCAAGATATGAACACCAGTGAGATTTTTTTTTTTTTAATTTTTCTCATGGAGTGAGAGAGTGGGATTTGGTGCACATTCCTTGTTTATTCATCAAGGCATGTACATTAACAAGTATCGTATACATTATTTAAAAAATGATTTAACAAGTGTAATAATCACTATAATCAATTTTGTTAAAGAGTGTGATATAACATATTAGAAAAGATGACATGTTTTGAAATACGATGTTGACACAAACAATTATACTTAATATTTATTTATATTGTTGGATTTTTTTTCTGAAAATATGGTAATAATTCATATATATCATCATTGATAGTAAATATATATAAATATGGTATTAAATAATATAATAACATAAATGTAAAATCTTTTACAAATTTTGATATTATTTTACCAAAAAAATTTCAAAATTGTATACAGTTTGTTAAAAAAGTTTATAAATTTTAATTAATATCATTCTTTTCCCTTTGATATTAAATTACTTTTATATTTCTTAACACTTAATATACAATACAATTAAATTAACAATATAATTTAACTTTAGAAGTTTTTATTGTTGTATATAGTGCAGGAAATTTATATTTAAATCTTAAGTAGTAATTACAGAAATATTCAATCCAATGGCATTTCATCTTAGGAATTTATAACTTTTATAAAGAAGGATTATTGTTTTCGATCCTCATTTAATATGCTTTTACGTAACGGTTTTTAGTTTTCCTTTTGCCACTAATATCTTAACTTGGTCACTGCCATTTATCCCGAAAATAGAATATCAAATTATTTTTTGGTCAACATCATATCATAGTACATACTATATGATTAATTCCTTTTCATTTCTTGCGCTAGTCAGTTTTCTATATAAGCATAAGCCACACACAATAGTTTGATTGTACTCTAGTTGATTAGAGTTAATGGGAGTCATGAATATTCTGGGCAGGTTCATAGTCTTACACGTGGTACTATAAAAACCGTTGGAAAGTAGCCTTCTAAATGACATCACGTGACTGCATGGATTTTCGTAATCGATCCGTATTTTAAGAAACGTTTTCGTCTCGAACGCAACGGAGCTTTTGCTGGATACGAGTTTACCGTATTGTGTACTATATCCACGTGGCCTGCATGCATCATATGGGCCTTAAACCTGACTAGTTGGGCCTTGCTTCCATTATCGACGACGTACGGTTTCAGTCTTGGGTCTTTAATAAATATTTTCAGAATTTTGTTTACTTTTTTTGTCAGCTCAGAGATCTTATTTTGTTTTGTCAATTCAGAAATTTTATTCATTTGTCGTCATCGTGAATGTTTCAGTGTCAGATATTTAATTATAGCGAAGTTTAGAAGTTTGCACGAAAGCAATGCTGAATTTTTTTTTAATTTTATAATGTATGTACTTCAACCAAACACTTAAACTTGTAAAGTTTCTTTGTGGATAGACATATGTGGTTACTCTTTTTAGTTTATTTTTTTCTTGAAAATGCAATTATAGCAAAGGCTTCAAAACGTATGAAAAAGCTGTATCATAATCAGAGATGGAAAGCGATATGTTAGGATTAACTTTCCATAAAGACGTAATATACCTTACAATGTAGTATAAATCTCAACCACATTATTATGGTGAAATAAATCGTTTTTTTCGGTTATAGCTTCACAATAACACAGTTGAAATAAGCATTACATTGTAGTATTGGTGGAATTAAAGATCTCAAGATATGGTCAATGTTTGGCATTTAGAGTTGAAAAATAGTAAATAATATTTTGGTTACTAATTAACACTTAATTTTCGGTGAATGCTCTAGTCTTCTGAAAAGATAATCTATAAAAGTATAAAGATTATTGGACTGCAACCCTATAGAGAGTAGGCCGGACCATGAAAATCATAGAAAGCGGAGTAAACCGGAACAAACCGGACCGGACCAACTGACAAGACACTCTCTCTCTCTCTCCCACATTGATATTATTGAGCAGAGTAGTGAAAGGAGGGGGAAGCAAAACAATCTGACTTTGTCTTTTCTCTCTCTTTTTTTCTCTCTCATAGGAACTCAAGAAAAGTGGTGGGAAAGAAGATGCCGAGGCCGTACGAATGCATCAGAAGAGCTTGGCATAGTGACAGACATCAACCCATGAGGGGTTTGCTCATCCAAGAGATTTTCAGGTCATCTTTTCTCTCTCTCTCTCTTACTCTGTATCAGTGTATGTAGATGCGTGCATGTGTCTTTCTCTGTTTTCTTCAGCTAAATTTTTTTATGAATTTTATTATTTTTGTAGGATTGTTTGTGAGATTCACAGCCAAGCCACCAAGAAGAACACTGAATGGCAAGAGAAGCTCCCTGTTGTTGTCTTGAGAGCTGAAGAAATCATCTACTCCAAAGCCAATTCTGAGGTTCTTTTTCTTTATTACATTTTAATGTTTAAAAAATAATAATAATAATAATAATCATCTCGATATTTAAAAAGACTGTTTCTCAACAGTAATCACTCTTCAGTTATTGTGGAACAGAAAAGTAGTTCATGAACAGTGAGATTGATACAGTCTTACTTGTAATGTTCTGCTCCATCTCATTATGAACATTGGAACTAATGTCACTGCATATGGACTTAGTCAATAACTATGTTGTAACTTAGGTGTCCAAGTTAGTTGAGTCTTGACTATATATTTGATTTACTATTTGTGGGTTTAATCGTTAGGCTGAGTATATGGATATGAAAACACTTTTAGACCGTACAAACGACGCAATTAACACCATAATCCGACTCGATGAGACCACTGAAACAGGGGAGTTTCTTCAGCCTTGTATTGAAGGTATACATACAATCTCTAAAACTATTCTAATTTTCTTGATTATTCTCTAGGCTCAGAGCAATGAGCAAAGTCTTGTTTTTGTTTGTTTGTTTCTGTAGCTGCTTTGCATTTGGGTTGCACGCCAAGGAAAGCTTCAAGAAGCCAACGGAACATAAACCCTAGATGTTATCTTAGCCAAGACTCAACTAACTTGGACAACGTTTTGTCACCACAATACCAAGCCTTCATGAAACCGAACAACTTTGGTCTAAAGAATCTTCCGGTCATGACTTTCCAAAGCGACGTTCAAGAGAAGAGGGTGGAGAGATGTCCTGTCTCTAAGTACTCAAGCTACCCTCTGTGCTACTCGCTCCGGGTTCCTTCTTTGCCAAGCTCTAACAGTGTCACTGACTCGTGCAAGTCCAGCAAGAACAGCAGACCTGTGAGTGTGAAAGATGAAACTAATGGGATTACCTTTGGTGGGTGTGATCTGTCTCTGCGCTTAGGACCTCTTGAAGATATCAAATCTCCTTGTCCAAAAAGGAGTAAGATAAGCAGCAGTAACATCAATAACAACAACAACAAAAGCTGAAAAATTGAGAGTAACAACATAGCTAGTCTTGTATTAGAGGGTGTGTCTTAGTTAGCTATTTTAGTTTCTCTGTATGTTTTAGGTGTCTTTGGATGTAAATGGAGAGATAGATAATGATGGAAACATAGTAGTCTTTTTCTTCTTCTTTATGTCGTTCATAAATCTTTGAATCATCAAACTACATTTCTACTTTTGCAGATGATACACGAGATATTCGTAAGACGGTATCAATCACAAGATTTTATGAAAAAAGATTCTTTGGCGACCGACGATGACTCTTGTGATACGGGCTTTCAATAGGCCCGTTGGTTATATATTGAAGGCCCATTTAGTAGTCCCATTATTCTATATGGGCCCAATTAACTTCTTTTTCACGTTGCTACATGAGCGTGAACAATACCAAGCCTTTCTCTTTTGCGTTCTGTGACAAAATTTGACTTATATATGGTAACTATTTCACCGCAAATTATATGCGGGTTGTTTCACTAAAACAGTTTTAGATTTCTAGTGAAACTGGTAGAAAACTAAGAAAGTCATTCCAGGATTTAAATTATTTGATTCCCATGCATATTCTAATGCTTTGATTTCATGTAACAGATCTAATCGTTGTGATGTTATCTGATACGTTGGGTGTTATGGTTAGACTATTAACGTAAAATAAATTTTGAGTTGAGAGGCATACACTACAAGAAATCTCATGCATTACTACATGCAGACTCGAACATGAATCTAAGATATGCAAAAAATATATCTCAACAACCAAATCTCTTGAATCTTTACGAATATATATTTTGATTTTACAGATGCATTTGTACATATATATAATAACATAGAAAAAAGGCAAGATATTTCCATGTTGTAAAACCATTTTAACCGATTACAAATTCAGTAGCATAATTCAACTAATTTTTTGACAGCTTGGAAAGACTTCGTCAATTTAAACTTCACCTAATTCGAATCTTTGATCTCAAGACTTCTTTATATCAGCATTTTTTCCAAGCCCTCCACCATTGAAAATATTGCAAAGTAAGATTTAAAAAAGGGCTAATCTTTTTGTAATCTACTAATCTCCTCACAAAAGTAATTTCTCATTGGTTTTTGAGTGAGGCTTTTCTTTCTCATTGCCAAACCTTGTCCATTATTATATAGATAACCTTGTCTGGTATAATTTATGTCTTACCTAAAAGTTGATCCAAGTGGGTTTAAATTACTTAAATTGGTGACCAATTGACTCTCTACGTATTGGTTTGACAAGAAATGACCGGTTCTCATTGATTTTAATTATTACTTTTCTTGGAATTAAGCGATCCATCCACTAGTAGAAAACTGCAAAATACACACGATTGGGTCACGGTAGTATAGTGGCTTTTTTTTGTTATAGTCACGACAAAGTCACAATTAGTCACGAAATGGAGAAATATGACAAATTGTGTCTTTTTCATGGCAAATAGACACGAATTAGTCACATATAATCTTTGTGACTAAATTTTGTCACGGTTTGTCACAAACAATTCGTGACTAAAATGTCACATTTTTAAAATTGTGTATAAACGTGACTTTCCCAGTCACGAAAAGTCATGTAATAAATCTGTGACTAAAACAATGTCCAATCAAATAATCGAGAACTAACTCTTACTCCCATTTGTGACTAAAGCGATACTTTTCCACCGAAAAAATATTTCAAAGTCAAAAAACATATTGTTTTGGCAGAGAATATATTCGAATTTGAGTGGTCACAATAGACATCATTACAAAAAAACTGGTCACGGTTTCATAATGTGATAATTCTGTGACTAAGGCATCTTCTCTAAAACAAAAACTTCCGTTGCAAAGGAAGAACACCATGTCAAACTCAGAAAAACTCTCCTCAATATTTTCCATTTTCTCTTCAAATTAGTGAACGTGTTTTCTCAACTATTTCTCTTGTATTCCAAAATTTCAATGTCTCATTTCTTTCAATCAAGAGAGTGGATGGATCGACATATGGATCCAATCCGAAATTGTGTTTCTGAAGAATTTATGGAGGGAATTGAAGTGTTTCTTGCTTTTGCTTGTAATCAAGAATCCTACAAAGGAACAAATACTATGTTGTGTCCGTGTGCACGATGCAAGAACCGGAAACAACGTGATGCAAGGACGGTTTCTCGACATCTTTTTCGAGTAGGATTTACAGGAAATTACTATGTTTGGTCAAGTCATGGAGAAAGCTGTTATAATGTTGGACAATCTTCGGGAACAAGTCATTTCTATGGAGAAGAATCACCAGAAGATGCAGAAGGTACAAATTATCAAATTCCAAACGAAACGTACTTTAATAATCCATTTTCCAATATAAATTTGGAAGAAGAGGTTGAAGTAACCCCAACACTGGAGAATGTGGTGGAAGAGCACGATGAAGAAACATATCACGATAACGTTTTCAGAGCCTATGAAGATGCAAGCCAACCACTTTATGAAGGTTGTCCTGAAGGAATTTCTCAACTATACTTGGCTTCACGATTAATGAAAGCGAAAACTGATTACAATTTGGCAGAAGCTTGTATCGATGAGATATCACAAACTTTTAAGGATGTTCTACCGAAGCCGAATAAAGCGCCATCATCTTATTACGAAGCTAAGAAGCTGGCCCGATCACTTGGTCTACCGGTTGTGAAGATTGATATTTGTGAGGATAACTGTATGTTATTTTGGAAAGAAGATAAGGAGCTCTTGGTATGTCGGTTTTGTGGTAAAGACAGATACCATCCAAACAGAGGAAGAGGAAAAAGTCGTCCTAAACAGAGGATGTTTTACTTGCCGATCACGGAACGACTAAAACGTCTATACCAAATAGAGACAACTGCGTCACATATGCGATGGCACGCAGAGCATATGTCTCCTCAAGGAGAAATGCATCACCCATCGGATGGAGCGGCATGGAAGCATTTTAATGGAGTATATTCTCAATTCGCTGCTGAAAGTCGTAATATTTATTTAGGTTTATCGACGGACGGATTTAATCCTATCGGTATGAATGGTGAAGCACATTCGATTTGGCCTGTTATCGTAACTCCATATAACTTACCGCCTGGTATGTGTATGAAAAGAGAATATTTATATCTGTCGATATTAATTCCCGGGCCAAAACATCCAAAGAAAAGTCTAGATATTTATCTTCAACCGTTAATTGAAGAATTACAAAATTTGTGGAGTGAAGGGGTGGAAGCTTATGATATCTCAAAGAAAGAAAGATTCACGATGCGAGCGGCATTGATGTGGACAATAAGCGACTTTCCGGCATATGCCATGCTTTCTGGTTGGATGACTCACGGAAGATTAGCGTGTCCATATTGTCTAGATGACACAAAGGCTTTTTGGTTACAGAATGGAAGGAAGCATAGTTGGTTTGATTGTCACAGAATGTTTTTGCCTCAGAATCATCCTTATCGACGAAATGTTAACGCGTTTAGGCGAGGAAAAACAGAAACAGATGATCCTCCCCCATGGTTGACTGGAGAAGAAATTTTTCGTGAAAGAATCAACAACATTCAGGGGTTGTCCAAAACAGTTGATTGCGGAGGAAAAGGACACGAGAAGGCTGCGCAGACAGTATCTGGCTATGGAAAAGATCATAACTGGGTAAAGAAGAGTATTTTTTGGGATTTACCATATTGGGAGAACCTTCTTCTTCGACACAACATTGACTTCATGCATGTGGAGAAAAACTTTTTTGATAATCTCACCAACACTGTGTTGAATGTTCCTGGAAAGACGAAAGATAACATTAGAGCGAGGATGGATCTCCCTAATATATGTAGAAGACAAGCTCTACATTTAAAAGAAGATGGAACTATGCCAGTGCCGATATTTAGGTTGTCAAATGAAGAAAAAAAGCAATTTCTCTCGTGGCTGAAGAATGATATAAAATTTCCTGATGGATACGCTTCAAAATTTAGTCGGTGCATTGATGAAACCAATATGAAGCTATCAGGATTGAAAAGTCACGACTGTCATGTTATTATGCAACGGCTTTACCCATTTGCATTTCGTGAACTCCTTCCGAAACATGTTCATACTGCAATCTCAGGTTATTACTTAAATATAAAATTTGTTGAAATATTTGTTTATTATTTAATTCTTACTTACTATTAATTGTATTTAAATTTGCAGAGATTGCACTTTTCTTTCGTGATATCTCAGCAAAGGTATTACGTAACGAAGATGTTGTCCTTTTAAAAGAAAATATACCGGTAAAGCTTTGTAATTTGGAGAAGATATTTCCTCCCCCGTTCTTTGATGTTATGGAACATCTTCCAGTGCATCTACCAGATGAAGCTGCTTTAGGTGGTCCAGTCCAATATAGATGGATGTATGTCTTCGAAAGGTACATGTATCATCTGAAAAAGAAGGTAAAAAACAAGGCAAATATTGCAGGGTCCATTGTTGCACAATGTTTGAATGAGGAACTTTCAAATGCAACTGCAACTCACTTTGGTCATCCAGAAGTAACAGAAGAAGTTTCCATTCCAGGAAAAATTCGATTTACTTATATTGATAAAGATGTGCCAAATTTGTTTTACCATGAAGGCCGGGTCAGTGGAAAAGCCACCACGAGATGGTTAACAGATGTTGACTTCACCGTTTTGCACACATTTATGTTGCTCAATTGCCCTGCTTTCGAACCTTATGAAAGGTAATATTTTGAATTTAGATTTATATCTTATAATACAATGAGAGACTGAGTCATGTTTTTTTCACAGGATGTTTGACGAGTTCGTGATGGATAAAAACCCAAATATTACTAGTAATGATCTCCAAAAAGCGAAAGATCAACATTTTGCAAAATGGGTGAAAGATTTTGTAAGTTTTGCTTAATTAACTTGAGACTTTAATAATTCTTAAATTTTGTTAAACAAAGAAATAACCAACTTTTATATTTCATTATACCAACATTACAGATTACAGATGCCAGTAAGACATATGTGTTTCCTTACTGGATGCTGGATTTTATTCAAGGACCGCGTCGTAATTACACATCGTGGCCGATATATTTTTCGCGAGGATATTGCTTTCACACACATAATCATGGTCAAGATAAAAATACCCAAAATTATGGTGTGTATGTTCGTGGAACCACTGAGACTGAGTATTATGGGCTGATAGAAGAAATCATGATGATCGAGTACGGTGGTTCTGTTGGCTTGAAAGCCATGATTTTCAAATGCAAGTGGTTTGATACGGTAGTGGGTCGTGGAATGCGTAAACATAAGTCTGGGATTGTTGATGTGTCCCCTCGTAGCCAATATGAAAAATATGATCCTTTTATACTGTCGGGTAATTGTGATCAAGTATGTTTCATTCCCTACCCACGTGTACGTCGCACAAGTGCAACAGACTGGTGGGCATGCACTAAAGTTTTGCCTCGAGAGGTAAATGAAACATCTGAAGTTGCTCTAACTGCATTGCAAGATGATACACGTAATGATGTTGTTGCACCAAGTGAAATGATACGAGTTGAGTCATATGTCGTGGAAGATGATTCTGGTTATGATGTCTTACCCGTGGCTCCTCCCAACGATGAATATGTATCAGAAGATGAGTTAGAAGATCCGTGTGCCGACTCTGATTCAGACTCCGATTATGATTAAGGTAATATGTAGTTGTGATATGTATTTGAGATTTAAAATATGATTAATAAAATAAAGTTTGGTTATCATGTTTATTTGATTATTATAAATATGTATTATGTTTAGGAGTTATAATGTAAGAATTATATTTTATGGGTTATTGTTTAAAGATTGTTGTTTAGTGGTTATAGTTTAGGGATTAGATTTTAGGGATTGGAGTTTAGAGGTTATAGTTTGGAGAATATGGAGATTGTATTTTTTAAGATTTATAGGTTTATTGTTTGTTCAAAATAATAGATTTGTAGTTTTAGCTTACAAATTTAGATTTAGCTAATGTAAAATGTTAAAGTTGGTTATGATAATGTTAAAATTTATTTAGGACATAGAGAATGTTTGCCAAGTTTTTTACTCGGATTTTTGCCTCCATACATATTTTTGGCTCCAATTTTTGGCTCCATTTATTTCGGTTTTGGCTCTTAAACATTTGGCCCAAAACACTTAATAAATAAAACGACGCTCTCCTCTCTTCTTAAACACAACACTTAGACAAAAAATCTGTACTCTCTCGCTCTACTAAGATTCTCTCGACGACACTCAAAGTCACTGTCTCGAGCTCTCTCTGATCAGAACCAGCATGGCTCAAAGCGGACCATTGGATAATCGGCGTCGCCCACGACCACCAGAGTTAAACCTTCCGGGTATGTTCTCCTTACTGTGTTTTGATTAGGGTTCATCTGTTATTTGTTCGATTTGGTGATTTCTTTATCAGGGTTTCGATTTGGGGATTTTTGTATTAGGGTTTGATTTGGTGATTTCTTTTATTAGGGTTTCGATTTGGGGATTTCTTTTGTTAGGGTTTCTATTTGGGGGTTTCTTATTAGGGTTTGATTTGGTGATTCCTTTATTAGGGTTTCGATTTGGGGCTATGTTGATAAGGGTTTTGATTCTTCTGCTATTTGTATACAGTAACCACACAATAGAGTCTGTTACTATCTTGTTATCTCTTTACTAGTTCCTTGTCTGTTGGTTGATGTGTTATGGTCTCTGATTTTTTTTTTCTGTTTCATGTTTCCAGATATGCAACAAAGAAGAATACCAACCTCAGTTGCATCTGCAGGGTTTGTCATGCCTTCTACGAGTGGGTCTTCTGGTCATTCCATGCCACCAGGAGCTGTTGGTTCTTCAACTCGAGACCATCCACCTGTTAACAACTACAACCATGTAACAGAACAAGCACTCTTACGCTCTGCAGCTAGAGAGTATCAGCCTCACCTACATCCAAAGAAAGTCAATGGTGCTTTGTGGTAAGTCTCTAATTTCTTCACTTGTTATTTTTCTCATATTGCTTTACATATGCATATATTCTTCCTGATCATTCCCTGTTGTTGTTTTTGCAATCAGGTTTGGAGTAGACCCTAGTGTTCATAAATTCATCCGAACAACTTGGCAAGCTTACTACTGGGGGCCGTGGTCTAGCTGGAAGTTTGTTCCAGAGGAGAGGAAAACAAGTTGGTGGCACACTTTCATCGTAAGTATTACTACTTTACTCTTTACTTCCATTTTAACAGTTTTACATTTAATGCCTTCTTTGTTTTTATGTAGCAAAACTATTACTGGGAAGAAAAGTACCATGATGAAGTTTACAAGCGCTGGAAGACTCACACAGTGCATACTGTATGTCAGAAGATCAGTAGGAAGAAGAGAGATAACGAGAAGCCAAAGTACATCAGTGAGGAGGATTGGTCTATCCTCCTAGCCAACTGGGCAACTCAAAAAGCTAAGGATAAGAGTACAAAGGCTGCTAAGGCACGCACTTCAGCTCCTCCTGGCAAGAAGATGTCTAAGCACTCTGCTGGACCAAATAACTTTGCAAAGCTTGCATACGATATGGTAAAGTTTCAACTCTTTCCTTCATATTTTCATTTATCTGCTCTAAATTCATACATACACCTTATTTTATGTTTTCTAGATGGTTGAGGGTGGATTGGACGAGCCACCATCTTTCATTGACCTTGTGCGCAAGACACACACTCGAAAAGATGGTTCGTTCATTGATGAACGTGCTGAGGATCTTGTCCTAGAGGTGGAGGAAGCTGTGGACTCTATGACATTCGATGAGGACTCTCCCGATGGTGTCAGCCCAACTGCATCAACTGCTACAACTGCCCCTTCAAGGCGGTTCCTCCTTGATCAAGAATTTCTCAAGGTACCCCTTAAATTGTTATTTCTTGCTTCGTTACTTGTATGGTTTACAATTTTTTCTACATATAATTTAGAAAGTTCTCTATTTGGTTCATCATTTCTTCTGCTTGTTTATGTTTTGTTGCTGGACTTTTATTTGTCTACTATGTCTCTGTCCATGTAATTTTTAATCATTGTTTCCATTAATCATTGTTTCCATTTTTTCAGCGTGCTACGACAAGCAAAGGGGGTATATATGGAATTGGGAGTGTCCAGTTCAGAGACTATGAACCACGTCAGTCAGTTCCAGCATCTCTTAAACGCAGCTTAGACATGGACTTGCGCGTCTCTGGAATAGAGACAAATGCTGAACATGTGCAGGCCACTGTGGAACTTCTCAAGACTGATATGGCAACTCTCAAAGAAGATTTTTTAGCCTTTAAGACTGAGATGAAGCAGGAGATGGCTGCAACAAGAAGCTCCCTTAATGTCATTCTACAGGCTCTTGGTGCTCTTGGTGCTGCTTCTCCTCCAGTGAACCAACCTGACAATGCCTCAACTCCTTAGGCTTCTTGCTTAAGTTGATCTCTTCTAGCTTTTGAAAGAACTATGTAACAAGGATGCTACTAGGTCTTTTTTTTGTCAATGTATCCTTTTGTAACAACTTTAATTATCAAAAATCGGCTGCAGTATTTTGTTATAACATTTTTCATTGTAATATATTTTTATTAGGCATAAAATTCTCATATTTAGTTTTTTTTTTTTTTTTACAAAAAATTTGACTTTAGTCACGTTTACAACAATGACCAATTCATGTCTAAATAATCACACAATAAACCAAGACACAATCGTGACCAACCTATCCACGATAACGTCATACTTATAATCGTGACAAACTGTCACGAAAATACACGAACAAACCGTGACAAATAGACACGAACACTTTCGTGTTTCATCGTGACTGTATTTGTCACGAAACTAAATCGTGCCTAAACCGTGACAATTTGAGTCACGAATTGTCACCGCAAATTTTAGTCACGATCGTATACACACTAAATTTTTTCGTGACTTTTCGTGTATATTTCTTCATATAGACACGAAAAAGTAGCTGTAGACACGAAATGTTCCGTGTGTATTTCGCAATATTCTACTAGTGATCATTGATCAATCAAGTATTATAGTACTAGTTTATAAAAATAAAAAGCAGAGAGAAATCTCAGTTGTACGTTGACGGCTACCACGTTGGTGATGATATCAAATGTGATCATTCGTATGATTGTAGTGGAAGAGACATGACAAACTATACCGATATGCAAGATAAATGTTAAATATTTTTATAAGTGATTTGTTATGATAAGATTTGCTTATTTTTGTTAACGCACATGCCTACATACGTATTCTTGTATGCATCTGTAAAATCATGATATGTAAACATAATGATATATATTTAGATACATGAAACATATGTACGCATGAAAGAGCTACATTGTTATTGTTTATTAAACAACATATACGATTCTTGTGTTTTTTTCTTCTTCTTGTACATCCGTTGCTATAGGATTAAACCCTAAGAGTATTAACACGCAGATATTATTAACCACTAATGAGACCATCAGACCATACAATTTTTACTATTAAATTGCTGACCCAAAAAGATATATTGCTTTTGACTACTCTTTAGTCTTGATAAGAAAATCAATTCTACTTGATATCCATGCATTCCTTTGTCATAAACTTTTTTAAAAAAGATGGATGAATGATCACAAAACAACAAGAAAGTGTAATTGTCTTTTGAAAAAGAATAGGTGGAATCAAACATGTTGAAATTAAAACAGGCTTTAGAATACGTACGATGTCGTGATATAATTTCATATATATGAGCTGTCTATAAGAAAGAAAATACCAAAAAATGAGGCGAGCGATATGTCACGTTGACGTACCACGAACAAGATTTAGTTTCTTACAAACCACCTAATTTCCTGATTAACAAATGATAATATAATATCCGAAACCATATTCAAACGTTAAAAAGCGTCTTATTCTTCTTATTAAAAGCTATTCCATTAAGATCTTTTGCCCAGCTCCTTTTTCCTGTGGAAAGGCAAAAGAAAATGTGTGAACATCAGCGTCTCATTGATTTATGTAATAAGACAAATTAATCTCCATTTTCATAAAGTAGCTCTGTGTTCACATATTCTTACTTTACGAACCCGAAATATAACAAGATTTTGCTTATTTCATCATGTAATATCTTTACAAACATTTACAACGTTTTTGCTTTTTAATTTGTTATGTTATCATACTCATACTCACGTTATCTATTTAAAAGATTATATTCAATAAGTTATAGGATGCATACATATTATTTATCAACATATCATTGAGAAATTAATTCCACATATGTCCATTTGAAATCTTTAAGAAGATAAAAACATTTAAAAAGATAGAGCTCATAAGTAAAATAACTTATAGAACTGGAAATAAAGGACTTCTAGAAGAAGATGAACAATGGAGCTATGCCATATATTGATAATGGATATATATAAAAGCAGATGACAATAGTACATATCCAGTAGACATACATAATTTTTGTGTATATAAAAAATTAATGGAAGATGCATGTTTGAGGAAGTTGCATTTAAGGTTTACTTAAAGACCTATATTGCTGTCACTGTTATGGCCACATCGAATTGTATCACTATGATCCATTACTATTTCGTAGCTGTTTAATATTTTTCAAATAATTTATTAGTCTATAATTTAATGCTTGTCATTTTTTTCATTAGTATTGAAATGCGATGGAGGTATAATTCGCTTGGCGATTCGCCAACTCATTTCAGAATAATTTATAACTTGGGGATTTGAATGAAAGTAGATGATTGCGGGTCATTAAAACCAAAGCTAACTCCCCAACTACATTTCATTTGAGCAATTAATATGATGTAACGTTTTAATGAAAAGCTTTACTCTTATTATATTTGTGCCCCTCCAGAGGATCTGTGGAATCAAGAGTTGTCTCAATATTTTTCTAGCTACTCTAGTATATATATCCATAGAAAAAACTAATTACTACATGTCAAAGTCTTCACATGGTTGACTTGGTTTACAGAGTGGCAACAACGATAAATCACCGAGATTTTTAAATGCTAGGGGGAGGTTACAACATATCGATTAGGTATATCCTGTGTTACCTATCAATTAACTAATGAAAATTTGGAAAATTGACATTAAGAATAGTATGAATCACACTGCTTGATTCAAGAATAACGTTTGAGCGTTGAAAAAGAAGGGTTGATGAATCTGCTTTAAAGATTTTGATGAACCATGAAGTCAAACCAAACACCCACGTCGGTAATGAAAAAGGAGTAATTTGGTTTTGATCCATTTCATCAACTAGGGTATATTGGGTATTTTGACATTTACCAGACCATTGGATTGATGAAAAAGTAAGAGAGTACACGGGGAGTTCGGTTTACTGACAGCTGTGGCTACCGTACTCAGCCAGGCTTACCTTAACAATCAAACAAACACTTTTTTTTTTTTTTTTGTGCTACATCAAACAAACACCTCAATCTATTTTTTACACACTTCCCCACGTCCCTCTTCGTGTTCTTTTCCAACCCAATTCAGTGTTATTATTTTTATTTTATTTTTCCTTCGTAATCTCTATGCTTTTGTGAGTGTTTTTTTTTGTGGAATAATGCTTTTGTGAGTGATATTCCGTTTTTAATATTTCATAGGAAGACTTAGTAAAGTTAGGTGTTATTTGTTGACAAAGTTAAAACATAGTTTCCCCTTTTACGGTAAAGAGAGAAACGAATTAGATGTGTATTCAAACTACACACACGAAAAAACCCCACGTTTTGACGGTGGCTGATCCATCTTTGAATTCCCCATGACTAAAAGAAAAGAAGAAAGAGATCAATAGTTTTTTCTACTGCGTCAAAGAAGAAATAGTTATCTCTTTTTGTATACAGAAATAAATAGTTATTAGATTTTCATTTTTTTAAAGAGAATTATCTAGATTACAATATTTCATTATGAGATAACCTTTTTCATGAGATAATAAGAACTATGATAAAAAGAGAAAGAATAGATATGGATGCCTGGATGGTCCATTGGTCCAGAGTAATGGTTTTCCACAGATTTCATCTATTATATCATTTATATAAATTCATGTTTCCAGGTGAAGAATAAATCCACTTGCTCTACAAAAACTAGGCTTTACAACTAAAGAAAAACGTAAATTAATTTTAGAACATTCTATAGCCCCAGTAATTACTTATAAGTAACACATAACTTTGTTTTTTTTTTCGCCAAAACAAAGAAAACTAATAATCAGAATTTAAAAACCCATTTACATAAAATTTCATACATGAAACAATTTTAAGCAATCTCAAGTGTTACTTAGATTTTCAAATATTCCACAAACTTAACAACAAAAGAAATTTTTTTTTTTTTTTGGTTGTAAAAATGCACTTTCTTTTACGAACATAAATGTAATCTGTACGGTGCAAATCTATCTACAAACCTTTATTACACCATCAATTAGTTCTGTCTTGTTTGAAAAGTCAAAAGGGTCTGGAAAATAAATTTAAGAACATGTTTGGTTATAAAGAGAGACCCACCCAAGTGGGTCGGATCTGTCCAAAATAGTTTGTGACGGTCACAAGAGGGAAAAAGAGATAAAAAGGAAACGGATTTGAAGGAAACGGCCTCACACACACAGATTTTATTAAATTAGAAGACACTCTTACAACCTTCTCTCTGTTTCAACCCCCCAGTTGTCGCCTTCCTCTCTTCTCAAAGACCCTTTTCAAACTTACATTGAATGTGACACAGAGTGGCAAACACAAAACCAAACCATACTTCTCCATCCCCCTTCTAAATAATCCAACTCTTCTTCAATCTCAATTTCAACTTTTCGGTTCAGCCGACCCAATTCCGGTCTGAAAAACTCGTCGGGAAGTTTGAAACTTGTCGGAAAGTTAAAAACTTGTCGGAAAGTTTGAAACTTTCTAACAAGACGAAGGCGAATTCTTCTTTCTGTGATTGATTATATCTCCGTCACGGAATCTTCTTCTCAGGGTTTTATGATGAATCTGGAAACAATCAGTTTCCATTTACAGATGCAGACCGTTCACCTGACAGCGCTCTGAGATTTGTCTTTTTGCATCTTTCTGGAAGTATCTTTTGTTTGTTTCTCAGATCCATTGACTTGATCCCACACACACACAAAAAAAGTTTCCATCTTTTTTTTTAAGTAATAAAATTCTAAGCTTTAGTCGAATCCTACGATCTTGGAAGCAAAAAAAGTCATGAGAGGCTTCTTCTTCATCGTCTTCTTAACAACAACATGTCTGACTCTCTTCCCGGATCATCTACACGGTGGTGTACCCTACACCGGCAGCATCACACCAGGTTTCGAAGGATCTCAAATGAATTACATCAACAACAACGGAATCTTCCTCGAATCAAACAACTCAGCCTTCGGTTTCGGTTTCATAACCACACCAGAGTCCGTCACTCTCTTCACACTCAGCATCATCCACAAACCCAGCTCTAGACTCATCTGGTCCGCGAACAGAGCCTCCCCTGTTTCAAACTCGGACAAGCTTCAGTTCCAAGACAATGGAACCATCATCCTCCGCACAGAAGAAGGAGGAGAATCAGAGGTTTGGAAACTAGACAATTCAGGCAAAAACGCTTCGAGAATCGAGCTACGTGACTCAGGGAACCTCGTGGTTCTTTCCGGTGACGGAGCTTCGATCTGGGAGAGCTTTGATCATCCTACAGATACTCTGATTACAAACCAGGCTTTTAAAGAAGGGATGAAGCTCACTAGCAACCCGTCTTCGAGCAACATGACTTACTCTCTCGAGATTAAATCAGGAGATATGGTTTTATCCGTCAACAGCTTGACTCCACAGGTTTACTGGTCCATGGGAAACGATAGAGGGAGGATCATCGAAAAAGACGGCGTCGTAACCTCATCGTCTCTCTTAGGAAACTCGTGGAGGTTCTTTGATGAGAAACAAGTTCTGTTATGGCAGTTTGTGTATTCAGATAATAAAGATGTTAACGCTACTTGGATCGCTGTTTTGGGAAACAACGGTGTGATCTCTTTTTCCAATCTTGGGAGTGGTGTCTCTGCTGCTGATTCTTCAACTAAAATCCCAAACGATCAGTGTGCGACGCCAGAGCCTTGTGGTTCTTACTACACATGCTCTGGTAGTAAAGTGTGTGGATGTGTTTCTGGTTTGTCACGAGTTAGGTCTGATTGCAAATCCGGGATCGATGCTTCTCCTTGTAAGAAAACAGATAATAATAATGACACAGCGTCTCCTGCGCAACTTGTATATGCTGGAGACGGTGTTGACTACTTCGCGCTAGGGTTTGCTTCTCCCTTCTCCAAGAAAACCGATCTTGATAGCTGTAAAGAGTTTTGTAACAGCAACTGCTCGTGCCTTGGTTTGTTCTTCCAGAACAGTTCTGGTGACTGTTTCTTGTTTGATTGGATTGGAAGCTTTAAAAGCTCTGGAAGTCCTGGCTTTGTTGCGTACATCAAGGTGGTTGCTAATGGATTGGGAGGTGGAGATAACGGAGATGGTGATGATGGGAAACACTTTCCTTATATAGTAATTATAGTCTTGGCGACGGTTTTCATCATCGGTTGTTTGATCTTCGTGGCCTTTCGGATTCATAGGAGAACGAGAACGAAAACGCTTCTGGATGGTGATGAAGAACATAGCTCAGAGGAGGATAACTTCTTGGAGAATCTATCAGGGATGCCTATTAGGTTTACTTATAAAGATCTTCAATCAGCGACTAATAACTTCTCTGTCAAGTTAGGTCAAGGAGGGTTTGGTTCGGTCTACGAAGGGAGTTTACCTGATGGTTCACGTTTAGCTGTGAAGAAGCTTGAAGGAATAGGTCAAGGGAAGAAAGAGTTCAGAGCTGAGGTTAGTATCATCGGAAGCATTCATCATCTGCATCTGGTTCGGCTTAGAGGCTTCTGCGCAGAAGGAGCTCATAGGCTTCTTGTCTATGAGTTCTTAGCGAAAGGTTCGTTGGAGAAATGGATATTCAGGAGAAGAGATGGAGATATACTGTTGGATTGGGACACACGGTTCAACATCGCGGTCGGAACAGCGAAAGGTTTAGCTTATCTACATGAAGATTGCGACGCAAGAATCATCCATTGTGATATTAAACCAGAGAATATCTTGTTAGATGATAACTTCAACGCCAAGGTATCTGATTTCGGATTAGCTAAGCTTATGACAAGAGAACAGAGCCATGTTTTCACAACGATGCGTGGGACTAGAGGCTATTTAGCACCTGAATGGATCACAAACTACGCGATCTCGGAGAAGAGCGATGTGTACAGCTATGGGATGGTGTTGTTGGAGCTGATAGGAGGAAGAAAGAACTATGATCCATCAGAGTCTTCGGAGAAGTGTCACTTTCCTTCTTATGCTTTTAAGATGATGGAAGAAGGGAAGCTTTTGGAGATTGTTGATGGGAAGATGAAGAACGTTGATGTGGATGATGAGAGAGTTCAGAGAGCGATGAAGACTGCTCTTTGGTGTATACAAGAAGATATGCATTTGAGACCGTCGATGAGCAAAGTTGTTCAGATGCTTGAAGGAGTGTTTCATGTGGTTCAGCCTCCGTCTTCTTCTACTTTGGGGTCGAGGCTTTACTCGAGCTTTTGTAAGTCGATTAGTGAGGAAGGTGGTGGTACGTCTTCTGGACCGTCGGATTGTAATAGTGAGAACTATCTCTCTGCCGTGAGACTCTCCGGTCCGAGATAGTTTAGTATCTTCTTATTATAGGTTTTTTAGATGACACTACAACCACGTATTGATTGTATATTGTTGTTCTGTTTGAAACATTAGTGTTCCCTATATCAGTCTCAGTTTTGTAATGTTCGGACTTGTTTAAATAGATTAAAATGCACTACATATCGATTATCTTTACTCTCGTTTTTGGATTCTTTTGTAGTTTGAACGGTCACACATTCTTTGAAACCTTCTTTCTTGACTAGAATGTTTTGTCACAGAACCAACTGTTTCTTATCTTCTTCTCTCATTTTTCTTCTTTCTTCACTCCGTTTAATTTTTTGGTTTAAGTCTTCTAACGTGTGTCGAGGTTTTAGCTTGCCAAATAAACAAGCAGAAAAAAAGAAGAAGAAAAAAACAAAGAAAAGCAGGAAGCCATGGGAGTGTTCTTCACTGTCCTCTTAGCATCTCTGTTGATATTCTTCCCGGATCATCTACACGGCGGTGTACCCTACAATGGCAGCATCACACCAGGTTTCGAAGGATCACATATTAATTACATCAACAACAACGGAATCTTCCTCGAATCAAACAACTCAGCCTTCGGTTTCGGTTTCATAACGACACCAGATTCCGTCACTTTCTTCACACTCAGCATCATCCACAAACCCAGCTCTAGACTCATCTGGTCAGCAAACAGAGCTTCCCCTGTTTCTTATTCCGACAAGCTTCAGTTCCAAGACTACGGGAATATAGTGCTGCGCAGAGAAGAAGAGGGAGAATCCGAGGTCTGGAGATTGGACAATTCAGGCAAAAACGCTTCAAGAATCGAGCACCGTGACTCAGGGAACCTCGTTGTTGTCTCCGGTGACGGAGATTCGATCTGGGAGAGTTTTGAACATCCTACAGATACTCTTATCACCAATCAAGTGTTTAAAGAAGGCATGAAGCTCACTAGCAATGCTTCTTTAAGTAACATGACTTATGTTCTTGAGATCAAGTCAGGAGATATGGTTTTATCTGTCAACAGCTTGACCCCTCAAGTGTACTGGTCCATGAGCAGTGATAGCCAGAGGATCATTGAAAAAGACGGTGTATTGACTTCATCGTCTCTCCTCGGGAACTCGTGGATGTTCTTTGATGAGAAACAGTCTTTGTTATCGCAGTTTTTGATTTCATCAGAAAAAAGAGATAACTCCACTTGGATCGCTGTTTTGGGAAACAACGGTGTGATCTCCTTTACAATTCTTGGGAGTGATCTGTATGCTGCAGCTGATTCTTCCATTAAATTCCCAAGCGACCAATGTGCAACTCCCGAGCCTTGTGGCCCTTACTACCTCTGCTTTGGTCGTACAGTGTGTCGATGTGTGTTGGGGTTATTAAGAATTCGGTCTGATTGCCAAACCGGTATCACTTCTCCTTGTAAGAAAACTGACAACAATGCAACTATGAAACTTCTAAATGCTGGAGACAAGGTTGATTATTTCGCTCTAGGGTTTGCTTATCCCTTCTCCAAGGAAACCAATCTTGATAGCTGTAAAGAGATCTGCAACAGCAACTGCTCGTGTCTTGGTCTTTTCTTTCAGAACAGTTCCGGTCACTGTTTCTTGTTTGATTGGATTGGTAGCTTTAAAACCTCTTCAAACAAAAGCTCTGGTTTCGTCTCTTACATCAAGGTGGCTACTACTAATGATTTGGGAGGTGAAGAAAACGGATATGATAACAATGGGAAACACTTTCCATATATAGTAATTATAATCGTCTTAGCGGCGGTCTTTACCATAGGTGTTTTGATACTCGTGGCGTTTCGGATTCATAGGAGAATGAAATTACGTTTGTTTTCTTCTCAAGAGACTCATAGTTTCGTCAACATACTACCTGGTACGTCTATCCGATTTTCTTACAAAGATCTTCAGTTAGCTACACGTAATTTTACGGAGAAGTTAGGTCAAGGAGGGTTCGGTTCAGTTTTTAAGGGGATTTTACCAGATGGTTCTCACATAGCCGTGAAGCAGCTCGAAGGAATAGGTCAAGGCAAGAAAGAGTTCAAAGCCGAGGTTAGTACAATCGGTAGCATTCACCATCAAAACTTGGTGCATCTCACAGGCTTCTGCGAGGAAGGTGCTCACAGGCTTCTCGTTTATGAGTACTTACCGAACGGTTCGTTAGAGAGATGGATATTCAGGAGAAGAGATGGTGATCTACTCTTGAATTGGGACGCAAGGTTCAACATCGCGGTCGGTACAGCGAAAGGTTTAGCGTATCTACACGAAGATTGCGACGCAAGAATCATCCACTGCGATATTAAACCAGAGAATATCTTGTTGGATGATGACTTCAACGCCAAGGTATCTGACTTTGGACTAGCTAAGCTCATGACACGTGAACAGAGCCATGTCTTCACGACTCTGCGTGGTACGAGAGGCTATATGGCTCCTGAATGGATCACAACGTACGCGATCTCGGAGAAGAGCGATGTTTACAGCTATGGAATGGTTCTTGTGGAGTTAATAAGAAGAAGAAAGAACCAAGAGTGTTTAGCGAGTTCTAATTTTCCTGCTTATGCTTTTATGAGGATGAGAGAAGGATTGCTTATAGAGGATGTTGATTGGGGTATGGAGGAGGAGGGTGTTGATGTGAACGATGATGAGAGAGTTTCAAGGGCGATGAAAACTGCGTTTTGGTGTATACAAGAAGATATGGATTTGAGACCGTCGATGAGCAAAGTTGTTCAGATGCTTGAAGGTGTTTTTCCGGTGGTTCAGCCTCCTTCTTCTTCTACTTTAGACCCGAATCGTTACACGAGGTTGGAGTTGAGATCGATCAGCGAAGATGGCAGTGGTAGAACTTCATCATCGGTGTTTCATAGCGAGCTCTCCGGCCCGAGATAAAGAAACTTATTATAATTGGACTTTTGGATTTATTTTTCCTGTAATCACATGATACTTTCATTCAGCACATTTTAGAGGAGATAGTAAAACCATCATATAACTATTTTACAATAAGTACTTCTTTTACTAGTTACAATAATTCCAATTGTTCCTACCTAGACTATTTATGAGCGAATATATAGTTTCATCAAATATTGGTTTGAGTGTAAACTAGAGTTTGATCCGCACATCCGTATGGGTATATTTTTTACTTTATGAATATATAACTAAAATTTTTAAATATATGATTTATATTTTATTTTTAATGAAAATTTATAATTATATTTAATAACTAAATAAAGAAATACTTATTTTATCTTAAAAAAAATTAAACTTTTCGGTAAGATATTGTTAGATTTTTTTCAACAGATTTTATTATATTTAAATTAATTTATTATTAATATATTTATTAATTATTAAGATATTTTGAAAACAATATATATTTGATTGATTAAACAACAATCAAATATGTCATATTAAATAATTAATGACATGATCCAACATGATTTCTGAATAGTAGATAAATTTGGTAAAAGATAAGATTTTGGAAGTAAATGGGAGATTGGATAGAAATGATGGAATGAGAATGTAATGAGAATGTAATGAGATTTGAGTAACATCAAGAAAGGAATGGTGTCACAGTTGTACCACTGTATCTTACACTAATCCCAACCCAACTAGGCAACTAGTCTCTTAGTAAAAGTGGTTTTCGTGTCTAATCACTTTGCTTCCTCTTTAATCACTCTCTCTCAGTGCTAATCATACTTACCACTTTCTACTAAAAATTAAATGTCTAAAGGAAGTTTGCGTGACTCATTAAACTATATATATTAAAATTTTCAATTTCTAAATGCTAACTGTTCCACAAACCTTGAGATAAAAATTAACTAAGTACGAAAATGATGACCAAAATAACATGATAGTGTGTTGGGAAGAAAAGAGTAACACCTTCTAAGCTTCTCGATAGTTTTCTAATTGTTAATTACTGTAGCTAATAAACTATTAGTTCATTGTAGTCAACGAAGTAAGTAATGCTAACTTTAAACTGTTTACAAAAAAAACTTTAATTGAATTAATGATTTTGGCCTACCAAAAGCTTTTGGTTGGGTGTGTAGTGTGTACAGTTTTACATGTGAGTGCATGTATTAATTATGAAAACACTTCTATTCTTATTTAAGGTAGCAAATACTGTACATTAGTAACTTCTAATTACCTATATAATCCAATCTGAATAATATTGACTTGCCAAAAAGTAGTTATTAATTTAAGAGATTGTATCCCCTATATATTAAAGGAGAAGCATTATAACATTTTTGTGTAGTCACGTGTCATCACCACAACCATTCTTAATATCTTTAGAAAAATATGTTGGTCCATCTAAATATATAATAAGTTTTTTATTAAAATAACCATAAATGATTTATTAATGTTTTTCATTGTTTCCTTAAATAAAAATAATGGAATTGCCAAATATGGTTAAAGAATATATGACAATTAGTGATTTTCAATAATAAAGATTTGATAAAAATAGTGTATTTTTTAATTTTAACTTATCAAAATAAATTAAACAACTACATTAACTATATAATAAATGTTTAGATTTTTTTTTGTATTATGCTATACTTTGAATTTTTTAAAATGAATATAAATGACTAAAGTTATTAAAAAATCTCACATTAAAATTTTTGGGATCCATGGTTATTTTTTTTTTAACAAAATAGAAATGATTACAAAATTATATAAATAAGAAGTCTCATTTAATATATATATATTTATATATATTGTTCAAAATAAATTATGTACCATATAAAATATATATGTATTTTAGATTCTAATTTGCTTTGATTTTTTTGATAAAAATTTTGAACAGATATTAACAACTTAATATTTAGTTTTAAACTTTGCATAGTGTTTTAAAATTATAAATTACTAAAAAATGTTAAACATCCCACACATAAAACTTATTATCAATTATTTAAAATTTCTGTTATAAAATATAAAAATGAACAAAAAAATAAAATGAGTATAAACTATAATTTAACTGATATCAATATTAAAAATTTATTATATTTCTACGATAATATCATTTAAATTTAATTGTATATCATATAAAATAGAAAAAAATTGTTTAAATTAATAAAAAAATATTAATATGTTTACACCAGTTTAATTATATACGTAATAGTTACTGAATTTTGATTATAAATATATATTATTATTTTATAATATGTAAAAAAAAACATATAATGCATAAAAGTAATGTATACAAAATATTCATTCCGCGCAAGGCGCGGATCTAACCTAGTATAGATGTATTTTTTACAGTCGTCAAGTTGTATATCAAGGCCTTTTGTATGAGTCATGTGTCCTAAGTAGTTTTACAAGTTAGTATATCTATTTTTTACAAGGTAGTATTATTATTATCTTTAGTTATATTGTTAGTTTGTTACCTTTGGAAAGTATGTCCTTAGTTTCAAAGCTTTTATAGATGTTTATACATAAATTTAAATAAACAACAGTGTATATTCCATGAGCTGGCTTTAATATTCTGACTAAACGTGTTAATTAACAAGATGAGTAAAGTTCCCATTTAAGAGTAAAGTATTGTATAATAGTGTGGGGATGATATGGTTCACCTTATTAAAGCGAGCAATATAATTTAAAATTGTATTACATGTACAATAATGAGCACTATAATAATCAACAAAAAGTTTAAACCGTTTGATTAAGGAAATGTGAATGTCTTTTTATATATTAACATCAATGAATATTGGAGAAGGCCATGTCTTTCTCTTTGTGTTTAAACTAATATATATTAAAAGTAACCTAACCATATCCAAACTCCCTTAAAATCCGGATTTCCTTTTCTATTAACATATTGGACTTGTTTCCCACTCATGTTTCTCTTCTATTTTTGACCAACTACTTCGTCTTTTATTTTGTTGTATTCTATTCCCAAGCTTCTCATGTTTATAAAAAGTCCCATCTAAATTCAGTTAGTGGATTTTACTCAAAGTGTAATATTACTCAATCAAAAGATGTGTGCAAAGAGTTAAGAAATAACTCTTGATATAGTATAGAACAGTCAACAAAAATTGAACCCAATTGCTTCCAGAAAATAAAAAGTTTCAGTTGCATATGGTTTTGTTTTTCTCCCCAAGTTGCATATGTCTTGTAGTTAAGAGTATATAAATATTAAAAAGGATTTTAATAGTGAAAATATTAGTTCCATAAAACCTCCACTCTCCCCATCAATCACACGATTAAAATAATAAACCGCCGAATAACCTTAATTTACCTGATGACGTGTCAATTAGATTTATATTAGCCACTAACAAATTTTAAATGGGATTTTTGTCAGTTTTCTCTCTTCGCATAGTAAAAAAAAACTTTGAGTAGACAGAGAGAATCCATCCCTCACAAAACCCAAAAACCAAAAAAAGAAAAAACTCACTCAAGAACAAATCGAAATCTCAAACTATATGAAACCTTGTCTTCCTTCGTCTTCTCCTTAGGTTTTATCTTCAATGGATGCTTGATTTGCTCTGGTTCTGCGTTTGGTGAGTAGCATGTGCGTCTTCCTGTTTTTTTGTTTGTTTGTTTGTTTCTTTCTTTTGGCCTTGTCTTCTTGTTTCTTCTTTGTTTGGTTTCTGTAAGAAATGGCGGAACTTCTGATGAATCTGAGGAAGTTAAAGTTATGTACTTGTTCGTTTTTCATTACTTAGTTTTGAGTGTCGGTAGATCCAAAGTTGAAACTGTCCACTTAATGATTTACTTCACTACAATGACTAGTGAGCTCAGTACCACAAGATTTAGCCCTTTTTCTGATTTAGATTTGTGTTTCTCTGCTTAGATCGATTCAGGAACTCGGGAGTGAGTAGGGTTTTCTGGGTTTTGTGGAAAGTTTTTAACTTTACCTGAAAGAACTGATTTTTGGGGAATGTGTGTATTGTCTACGGATCCATTTGTTGTGAGTTGGTTAAGCCTGATTATTGGACAAGACCAGTGTTTTTTATATGTTCAACACTTTTAAAATGTAGCTTGAATCTTGGTCACTGATACAATGTTGATTGATATGTTATTTCATTATAAACCCTAGAAAAGCACTTTGATTTGATTTTTGGAAAAATGTTTGTTGTCTGTTGATTGATTTACAATACAATGATTGGTTCAAGTTTGTTTAAATTCAAGTGAATGCTTTTTAGGTAAAATTTACTTTAACATTACTGATTAATATTTCAGTTTATAAACTTTTCTGTCTCTTCACTTATATCAGTGTGACCTCCCTATTTGTTTTTTGTAGTTAACTATGAATCCTGAATGTATCATGGCTGCTGATGGGACGGGCTCTGCTCTTGCAAATGGTTGTTTAACAGTGGAACATGTCGGTGTTGAAGGAAATGGTGTTGATTCTGGAGAGACTTTGGATACTGCTTCAGATAGTCAGAATGAGAATTCGGGAGACAGTTCCAATTTGGAAGCAGTTGAACCCCCGAAAGCGACAGCTGAGGTTTGTAAATATTGGATGGTTTGTCTACTCGTCCGTTAGATAAACAGATATGGTTTACATTTGTGTGTTTTGTCTCTTTTACTATTTTTTAGGTCACACAAGGTGTAAATGTAGAAGATCCAAAGCATGTTAAATGCGAAAAGGCTCAACGGAAGCTTAAGCATGAGAAACTCCCAAGTGGTAAGAATGTTCCATCGGTACATGTCAAAAAGAACAAAGGTGCAATTGCTAAAGTGGCAGTAACAAATGGTTCTGTTGCGCCTAATGCACACACAACAAATTCTCAAAAGAAAGTATCATCCAATGGTAGAACGGCTAAAGCAACGGAGGTAATCTTCTAGGTTTATTTGCATATTTTTGTGTGATTTGTTATTTATTCTTCTTTTGGATTGTTGATTGATTCTGATTTCTTCCTTCTTTTTCATATCAGCATGGAAAGCAAGACTCTGCACCAGCTGAAAGCGCCACCGGGTACTGAGTCCTCATTTTTAAAATCAGGGGCTCTTTCCATATCAGACATTGGTTATAAGTTTCTCATTTTATCATTTAGTCCCTTAGCAATCGTTGAAAACTGGAGATTTGTTTTCTCTCATTGATACAGGGACAAGGTGAAACCAAAGCCTCAAAAGAAACAAGCCCATGAGACATCTGAAGATGATACTCAGTCTTCTAAGTATTTCGTCCACCTTTATATTTACCATCTCTTCTTTCTTATGTCAAGCTGAGGCCTTTCTGCATCGGAGATCTCAGTTTTAATCATTTGTGTTGTTTATAACTTTCTTGTTTCACAGTAGCCCCAAGGCAGACGATGGTAAACCTCGGAAAGTTGGTGCACTTCCAAATTATGGTTTTAGTTTTAAATGTGACCAACGGGCAGAGAAGAGAAGAGAGGTTTGTGTGCTTGAACTTCTGATTCAATATATCTGTCTTCGACAAACATGTTTTAAAATAATCATGTTTCTGCTTTGTACAGTTCTATGTTAAGCTTGAGGAAAAGACTCATGCGAAAGAAGAGGAAATTAATAACATGCAAGCCAAGTCCAAGGTTGTCTTCTAAATCTTCTTCTTTGTTATGGTATTCTCGACCTACTTTTGTTAAAACAAAACTCCTGGTTCGCTCACAGGAAACAGAAGAAGCTGAGCTTAGGAAGCTGAGGAAGAGCTTGAACTTCAAAGCCACACCCATGCCTAGCTTTTCTCAGCCGCCTAAAACAGAGTTAAAGAAGGTACTTCTACTCTCTCCTCAACCATGATCTCACCTTGTAACGAAGTACTAATTCTCATTGTTGCTTACTACGAGTAGATACCACCAACAAGACCCAAATCTCCAAAACTGGGGAGAAAGAAGACTGATTCTGAAGAAACTCAAACCCCTCGCGTTGGTAGGCTGAGCCTAGATGAGAAAGCCTCTAGGGATAACCCAGTTGCTAAGGGAAATGTGGCAACAGTTGATCCCAAGAAGCAACCGTTGCGTAAGTCACTTCCAAGATTGCCATCTCAGAAAACAGCTCTCCCTGATGGAAAACCTACCCCAGCAAAAGCAGCCACAACCTCAGCAAAGGTAAAGAAACTTGAAAAAGGTGCAGAAACCCAAAACCAGTCTTCACATCCCATAGAAGAGGTAGCACAAGTGACTGCATCAGCCAATGGTGATGGGGAAGACTCGCGGGAGATTGTATCTCCAATGATGGATGAAGACAGAGCCGAGTCCAGTGAGGTATCTGAAGCGGTTGCTGTTGAGCATTAAGAAGTAAGAACTCTGCATTTGAGAGGAGAAGAAAGCATGTAATAGTTATATATATCTTCGACCAAAACTTAATTTGAGAAGAATTGGGTAAAAGAGTGAAAAGAACCATGTTTTTGGTTCTAAAGGTTGTTGTTTTTATATATTTCTATGTTTGATGATGTAATGGTTTTAATCTTTTATGTTGTATTTTGATGTCAAGATGTTCTTTCTTTTTTCTTTTTGATGCTTTGATTCCTAAAAGGTGAATATTCAGGAGATTTCATTGCTTTCGCTCTGTGTATTCTATTTCTTTCTTATCCTTTGTTATAGTGTGCTTTTATTATAGTTGGATCATCTTCTGACCAAGGTCTAATATACAGTTATACATGAAGATATTGAAAGAAATGTTATTGAGATATAATTTCTTGATATTTGTTCATATAAAGCACAAAAAAAATTCATGTCCTTTTTACAGAATTTTTATTTGCAAATTGCAACGATTAATGTCTATTATATGCATGCATAGACACAAAACCAAATGTTCTTAACGTTGAGCGTGACGTCTCTAGCAACCAACCATTGATGAATAATTGATTTTCTTGATAACCAATAATTGATTCTATCCAGAGAGCACAGGACCAATCTCAATTCACATTTTTTAGCTCTACGCCTAAGGACACAACCCACTTTTATCTTTGGAATCTCACAATAATTCTTATTTGGAGTTTTGATACTTGGTTCTATTTTTCCAACACATTAGTATCAGTCTACCTCAATGTGCAAAAGATATTTTATGATTAAACCGGACTTAAATGTTTATTATATTACACCGGTTTAAAATCAGCACCAAGGGTCAGGACACAACTGACACAGATGTGTTATAGGTAGAGAAACCATTCTCATATTTACTTTCTTCCTCCTCTTCTTCCTCTTCTTCTTCAGTATCCCATAGAAACCGAGCATATGACGCAAGAACATGACTGCCACAAATACCATTCATCAAGTATATTAGATTTATTACATTTATCATGATGAAGTAATGCATCATCTACTGACTACTGCCACACCACATAAACATTGAAGATGCAGATAGAAAAGAAATCATGAATGAGATGTCTGTCATTTTCAATAACGTGACCAATCAAAACTTCAAAGGTTGGAAACAGAGCGAATCAGATTTGATCCACAGAATCATTTACGTGGGATGTTATCTTATTATTCCCTTTCAACAAATCCATTCCTACGAAACAATCAATAAAGCTGGCCATAACAAATACTGCAATCTACCAAAAATGGGTTAATAACTTGTGAACTTCACATCTTGGATAGACTTTAAGAAAACCTAAATCCAAAGTTAGAGACTTTACTTACATATATCATCAGGGTTCTAAGCAGATACTGAACTGTAACAATTATGGTTATGGTAATACTGACCAGTCATCAGGAGAAGATTGAACAGCTTGATCAAAGTAAGACTGAGCACGAACACCATCTCCATGATTCTTCCATATCAAATCTCCATACATAGACAACATCTCACCATCTCTCCCATCTTCAGACAACATCGCTCTCTCACAATACTCCTCTGCTTTTCTCTCATCACCCTTCACCTGCACAATATCAATACACAAAGTTACTTGATTTAACCAATCAAAAACCCAAATTCATACACAAAAATCTATTTCAATACAGAGAAATAATACAGACCAAAGTCCCAAGTGTTTTTTTTTATTAAGAAAACAAAAGTCTAAGAGTTAATTAGACTTATTACACAATAGTCTTAGCTTTGTCTTTATCTTGTCTCTGTATATAATATTAGAACAAGTGTATGTATACATACCTCTTTGAGGAAACGAGCGTAGTTAGCGAGAAGAAGAGCGTCACCAGGATAACGTTGTATCATCTCTTCATAGTAACCATCAACGCTCCCACCTCCACCACCACCTCCACCGTCACCACCTTCTCCACCTCTACCGCCAAATCCACCGTTAGAACCTCCCTGGTGGAGCCTTGATACCTTAGAAGACGCCGTGTCGTCGTAGTAGACGCTTGAAGTTTTGGTTGTGCTCTGAACCGCAATTCTCATCTCGTGGAGGTTTCCATCGGAAGAAGCTCTAGGCATCGACTTACATCCTCGGTGAGAAGCGGAGAAGGGACGAGCCGTTGTTGCAACGCGAGCTCCGTTTGAGCAACGTGGAGCTGAGGATTTTTGGGCGGCGCGTAGGTTGAGGTCCAGTGACGACGCGCTTCTCAGGATCATTTTTAGTAATCTTCTTCTTTTTTTTAGTGGAGTGTGTGTGTGTGAGAGAGAGGGAAGATATTTATGAGACTGAAAATATCATTGGAGTATACGTTCTTATCAGCCCCGCTATTTGTTATTACTATCAAATTGACCCCATAGTTTAAAATATATATTCACACCCCCCTGGGTTATTATCGAAATTATAGCCATCATAATTTCGTGTAGGTCCAAAATTATAACTGTATTAGAACGCATTTGCCTCAGGCCTCACCAAAATATAAAATACTAGGATAAGACCCGTGCCTTGCACAGAGTAAATTATTTTTTTAAAAATGTTTATGTTATATAACTGTGATTTTGTTTTTGAATTTTAATATTGCAGTACAGATTTTTTCAGTTAATAAAAGGGAAAGATTAATTATTTTATCTTACAATTAGAAAATATAATTAAAATTTTAATTTTCAGTTAATCAAATCTGTCAACACATCAACGTATTTATTCAGAGACAAATCAAAACAAAGAGACGTTTTTACATATGTGGTAACCATGTCTTCACCTACATATATAACAACAAAACTCAGGTTAGTATTTAGTATATTCATTGTTCAATAGTTTAAATGTAAAAATGATATATTCAGAATATTAAATTATTTTGCATGCTTAGGAATAATAGTGTGAAGTATATAAAAATTGAAAAGTATATTTTAACTGAAATTGAAAAATAATGCAAGGTCTTATTTATGTAGTAACATATTAAAGTTTTATATTTAACTCGACTTTGTTTTATTAGTTATAAAACCAACTTCTTTGCAGTTATGTGCTACAAAATAAAAACAGATGAAAGTTTTTCATATTATATATGAAATTGCAATAAATAGAAAACAAAATCTACGAGGAGAGAAAAAGACATATAATGTTCCCAAATTTTATCTAACAAATTGAGTACTAAAGTCATAAAGATAAAATAATAGATTATGACTTGGTATTGTTAATACTAGAAAACCACTCCGCGCGTTTGCGCGGGAGAGAATATGTTTAATTTATACTCCCTCCATTTCAAATTATATGATGTTTTAGAAGGTTTAAGTTGTTTCAAAATATATGATGTTTTGAAGTTTTAAGGTATCTTTTGAGGTTTTAAGGTTAACTTTAACTTTATTGGAAACTGTTCAACCAATAAAATTTTACAGTCTTTTTTTTACAGTATTTTTATAGTCTTTTTATAATTGGTTAAATGATTATAATATTATATCTTTTAAAGTGCTTTTTAGAATAATGTAAATTTCTTAATCTTCGTGCATCAACCCAAAACATCATATATTAAGAAACTTAGGGAGTATATATTAAAGTTTACTATAATTTATGTTAATTAATAAATCATTTCGAATCATTTAATAAACTCGTTTATTTTGATTTAGATAAAACTTTAAACAACAATCTTATATAAAAAATTACATAATATAATTAAAGTTTACTATAATTTATATTAATTAATCAATCATTTTGAATCATTTAATAAACTCGTTTATTTTGATTTAGATAAAAATTTAAACAACAATCTTATATAAAAAATTACATAATATAATTAAAGTTTACTATAATTTATATTAATTAATCAATCATTTCGAATCATTTAATAAACTCATTTATTTTGATTTGGATAAAACTTTAAACAACAATCTTATATACAAAATTATAGAATATAATTTGTGTTTGAAAATGTGTAAATTTAAATTTTATATATTTTTCTTAGAATATTAAGTAACATAATCGTCTTCAATTATTTTTTTTTTCTTTTTCTTTGTGGCGTTTGACTTCTTCTATTGGTTGTGTCTTTTCATTTATATTGTCAGCTTCACTTTGTTTTAATTTTTTGGATGTATTTGATATTCTTCCTTTCCTTGTTTTATTACCTTTAGATGCATTGGTTTCTTCTATCTCGTCCGCATTGACAACAATTTATTATAATAGGTTGTTAAAATGAAATGTAATGAAATGTAAGTTTGTAATTTTTCTTTATAATTTTCTGATTTTTATTTACAAAAAATAAAATTATATTCCAAATATATTGTACATCTTCGTTAATATTTTGCTTGTTTGTGATACTTGTAACCGTTAATCCAGCTGAATTTAACTGATAATTGTAGGATGTGACTTTAACATTGAATTTAAAACTTTTCCGATAAGCTTTTCTGAAAAGTAGGAGATAATTGTATTATCACTTAAATCATTATATATATGACTGTTCCTGCATATAGTAATTTTAAATATTAACTTCTGATTATACATCATAGTTTAATAATTATTGTAAGGATTAAAGTTACGTGAAATTTAATTAAGCATGTTGCTGATTTACCTAAAATATGGGTCATGTCTTTGTTGAATGTGGTTTCTAAAACTGAATCCGAGTTATCTTCGACAACGATCTCAAATTTATACCTATTTTAATGTGTTTGGTATTAATAATCAGATTGTCAGCTTTGCTAAACAAAACAATAGTTGAAAGGTTGTATATTTTCATAATAACTGAAATATATTGTTGAAAGGGTGTATCTTTTCTAAAAAAAAATGATTATATTAGTTTGAAATTTCCATCTTTTCATTGCAAAAAAAATTGTGTCTTCTCATAAAATTTTTAACTATTATTTGAGAAGTTGCATCTCTTCAATTAAAAACACATTTGGTGTTCCAGAAAAAAATAGTTAAGACCATTAGATGAAAAACAAAACAATGCTAGAAAGGTTGTATCTTTTCATAATAACTGAAATATATTAGTTTAAAAAGTTGCATCTTTTGATTATATACTAAAGTATTTAAAATAGATTGCATAAATAATTTATTAGGACCATTAGATGGAAAACAAAAAAAATGCTAGAAAGGTTGTATCTTTTCATTATAACTAAAATATATTAGTTTAAAAGTTGCATCTTTTGATTATATACCAAAATATATATATCAAGACTTAATAAATTGTATATATCTACGAATATTAACAATCCTCATTAATTCCAAAGGTTGTGAATCTCTAATTGAAAGGATGTATTTTTACTTTAAATATACTTTGAAACAATGTGTCTGTTTAAAACTTAGTTTATTTGAAAGAATGTGTTTATTTTTAAAAAATAATTGAAATGATGTATTTTTTTTTTAATTTCTTGAAACAATGTGTCTATTGAAAAGTTAGTTAAGTTGAAAAAGATGTCTATCCAAGAAATATATATATATATATATATATATATATATATATATAATTATAAGATGTATTTTTTTGATAATGTAGAAACAAAACTCTTGAAACTAATAGAGTTAATATTTTTTTTATGAAAAGACACAAGTTTAAATATTAATTAAAGTTTTTTATTAACCTATTTTTTACGTTGAGAATAACACAACTCTTGTAACTTATTTAAATACTTTTTAAACTATTTTTTATAATGAAAATATGCAACTTTTAAAGTAATAGAGTTTTTTTGGAAAGATACAACTTTTTATAAAGAAAAGATACCACTCTTAAAATTAATATACAGTTTTTTTTATGAATAGACATAAATTTATTTATAGTGAAGAAACACAACTCTTGAAATTAATAGACTTCAATTTTTTTTTTTATATTGAAGTTTTTTTATTAACCTATTTTTTACTATGAGAAGACACAACTCTTGTAACTTATTTAAGTACTTTTAAACATTTTTATAATGAAAATATGCTACTTTTAAAGTAATAGAGTTTTTTTTTTTTGGAAAGATATAACTTTTTTTTAATGAAAAGATACCACTCTTAAAATTAATATACAGGTTTTTCATGAAAAGACATAAATTTATTTATAGTGAAGAAACACAACTCTTGAAATTAATAAACTTCAATTTTTTTTTTATGAAAATACATACTTTTTAATAGTGCAAAACACACAACTTTAAAATTAATATAATTCAAAATTTGAAAGGTTGTGTCTTTCAAATATGTAAATATAAAAGGCAATTATAAGAGTTGTGTTTTTTTTTTTTAAATTATGTGTATGGAAATATGTGTTTTAAGAGTTTTGTATTTCTCTAAAAAAAAGATTTTTAAATGATAAGTCTACTTGAATTTTTTTAAAGAGATGAGGTATTTTTTATAATAAACTAAAATCAAACGGTGAGATTTGTTCATAGGACATATTCTAGTGGTTACGATTTTGTTGAGGATTTGTTCATAGGTAGTTTTAAGATTCATTTTAGCAATAGACGTCTTCTAAGTTATGCATGTTCAAAGGCGCCTCTTTAAAAAAAACTGCATAATTCTCCTCATAACCCCACAATCGTCATCTTCCTCAAGAGTGATATCTTTTCGGAGTGTTATATATCGAAGAGATTTGAGGATTTCTTCCATTCTATGGTTTTCTTCTTATCTCTCTCTCCGGATTTTAAATCTCTGTTTTGTTGCCACAAATCTCATTTCCTATAATCCTCTCATTTTCAGATAATTTACCCCTCATATTATCTATGTTGAGTTTACTGTCCCTATTGAGTTTCTGCAATTTCCAATGTACAGTGCCTGATGAGTTTCTGGTGAGTTGTCTATCTCTCGTCTTTCCCTTATGTTCAATTTCGTTTTATGTCTTGGTTGAGTTTACTTCCCTTGTTGAGTTTTCGGATCTATATCTTTGGGATTATTCAAATTTCTGTTCACATTCAGAATATCTGTAGAAACCGTAAGCCAATATTTGTTGGCTCTACCATAGTAGCGAGAAGGTACCTTTTGAAATTGACTTTGAGTCTTTATTTCAGAAACGCCAACGAATATTCTACTTAAAACTAAATTTGTCTGACTTTATAATGTTTCCAAACGTACAGATTTTATGTTTTGGAATGTGAGAGTGCTGATTGTATAGATGGTACGTGTATACCCATGTTCTTATAATTGTATATCCTACGATGTACTTGTATTTATATTTTTTGATAATGTAATAATTTAAAATTTAATGATCACAAATCTCATTTTTAAATACTTTTAAACTTTCTGAGTCAGAATTTTTTTTTTAATAATGAAAAGATGCCACTTT